TCAAAATGAGTGCCGCCGCCGCCGAAGATAGCCTCAAGGTCGAAAAGTGTCTCGCTTCTTCCGACACAACTACTCCAGAGAATGAGAAGTATGGGGAAGGAGCGAAGGACGTTGCCCCTGACGAGGCAAAACCCCGGCCCGAGCGAACAGCGACATTCAACGATTATCTGGTTTGTTTCCCACCTCTTCTAAGATGATGGTTTTTTTATACAGACCGAGTATTAATCGGCTTAATTCGACAGAGAGTATTCAAATATGCATCGAAATGGGACTTCCTTGCTTACGCTGCGGGCGTGCTGGCATCTATCGGTGCTGGCATCACCCTGCCGTTAATGAACGTTGTATTCGGTGAGTTCGTCCACACGCGCAACCAGCAACCCAAGGGCTGTGACCTATATATTTTAATTCAACGTATTGACCATTCCTAGGCAAGTTCGTTGGAAACTTTAGCAGCTTCTCAAATTTCAACGCCGGAGGTGCTGGCATCACCAAGGCCGAATTTCAATCCAAACTGGACAAGTTGGCGTAAGTAGCGCATCGAATATTCGAATATAGTTGTCTAGGATTCAACTAACTCGTCTTCTTGCAGATTATACATGTTCGCATTGTTTATTGGTCGTCTTGGACTCAACTATATTAACAAGGTATTTTTGACTATACCGCCAACTAGATTTATGCGCCGACTAATGTGCTTTTTTCAAGCTGTGTTTTCGAATGATTGGAATAAGACTCTCTTCGGCGATCCGACTACACTACCTCCAAGCCCTTTTTGCCCAAAGCATTCATGTGTTGGATTCGATGCCCCCTGGATACGCCACCACGACTATTACTAGCACCAGCAACACCTTGCAGTTGGGCATCTCGGAAAAATTGGGCGTCTTTGTCGAATTCTCGGCTACCATTATTGCTGCCATAATCATCGCGTTTTCCTACAATTGGTTGTTGACTCTTGTGACGGCATCGTCCATCTTTTTTATTGCTTTGACAGTCTCAATACTGTTGCCGTTTATTGTCAAGTGCAATACGAGAGTTACAAAGGTAAATTTCGCAGTATTTTCGCATGAAAACGTATTCATCATTTCTAACACTCATCCATCAATTTAGACCGAGGGAAAAGCTGCGGCAGTTGCCAGCGAGGCAATGTCCAGTATTCGCATGATCATGGCCTGTGGTGCTGAATCGCGAATCGCCAAGAAGTATGCGGCGTTTGTTGAAGAGACAAAGAAACATGCTCAGTTTATGTCTCCACTCATTGCGCTTCAATTTGGATTAATTGTATGTCGTACGACCGTTTGTGTGTATGTTCTGCCGGGGCTTGCTGACACATATGCAGTTCTTCGGTGCCTTTGCCGCCTTTGCCCTTGCCTTCTGGTACGGCATCAAGTCTTTTGTTGACGATTCAAGAGGCGATCTTAGTACCATAGTGATGTAAGGTGTAACCACCCCATGGAAAATACACTAAGCTGATACATCATAGTGTCTTATTCTCCGTTATGATGGTCGTCTTCTCGCTGGAGAGAACATCAACGCCAATGTTGGCCGTTAGCAAAGCTACAGTAGCCGCCTGCCAGTTTTTCACCGTTATCGATGCCCCTGCCCCGAGTAAGGGCCACCTTAAAACCCCCGAAGTAGCTGCTACAGATGATATTGTGCTGGATGATGTTACTTTCGCATACCCTAGTCGCCCTCACGTCAAGATTCTTGATGGATTGGATTTGCGGATCGAGGCTGGAAAGATTACGGCCATTGTTGGCCCATCTGGCTCTGGCAAGAGTACCATCGTTGGCCTCATAGAACGGTGGTACAACCTAAAAGATCAACATGTGGTTGCCAAAGCTGTGGAAAAAAAGAAGAAAAACAAAGGCTCCGAGTCTGAGGATGATGGACCGGAGGAAGGCCAGTCTGAGGCCGAGGACACCGGCCCTCCCATCAAACTCAGCGGCACAATATCCACTTCTGGTCACCCACTCGATGATATTGAACTGAAATGGTGGCGATCACAAATTGGAATGGTTCAACAAGAACCCTTTCTTTTCAACGATACTATCTACACGAACGTGGCGAATGGCTTAGTAGGCTCCCGATGGGAGCACGAGTCGGAAGAGAAGAAGAGAGAATTAGTTAAGGAAGCTTGTAAAGAAGCATTCGCTGACGAGTTTATCGACAAGCTCCCCGCGGTAGGAACCACAAGCGTCATTCTAGATTTTAGTTATTATTTTCGCTAACATGCTGCATACAGGGCTACGATACACTTGTGGGGGACAGCGGTGCCAAGTTGTCAGGAGGCCAACGCCAACGGATTGCCATTGCCCGATCCATCGTTCGAAAGCCCGCGATTCTCGTTCTTGACGAAGCCACAAGCGCCATTGATGTCCGCGGCGAACGGATCGTGCAAGCTGCACTGGACCGGGTTGCCAAAAATAGGACGACTATTACCATTGCGCATCGTCTGTCAACGATCAAGAAGGCAGACCGTATTGTCGTCCTCAAGAAGGGCCAAGTGGTGGAGAGTGGGACGCATGAGAGTCTCATTGCAATGGAAAATGGCGTGTATGCCGGCCTTGTCAACGCACAAACCTTGTCCCTTGGAGCTGAACATGACGCCGCGAATGAGACCATTGATATGGACACGGACGGCGACGGAAGCACTACTCTTGAGCGCCGGAAGAGCAAAGCAGTCTCTGAACATGAAGCCATGGCTGAGACCAAGTTGGAAAAGCAGCGTAATCTCATCAGGAGTTTTGGCCGCTTTTTCTACGAATCAAAACAATATTGGTATCTCATGTGTCTAACGGTGTTTTTCGCGGCATGCGCTGGATCTGCCATCCCTCTCCAGGCTTACATGTTTGCCAATGTTGTGGTCATTTTCAAATACGAAGGCGACAAGCCAAAGCTCATGTCCGAAGGCAACTTCTGGTCTCTTATGTGGACTATTCTCGCTATCGGTGTGGGACTTGCTTATTTCTTCTGCTTCTTGTTTTCGACTCGGCTGGCCTCGATTATTCGAAACAAGTATCAGCAGATGTACTTCGAGGCCATTCTATATCAGAAGGCATCATTCTTCGATGAAGAGGATCACTCACAAGGGACCATGACTTCCCGTGCCTCCGGAGACCCCAAGCAGCTTGAAGAGCTGATGGGAGCGAACATGGCTAGTGTTTATGTCGCTATTTTCAGTCTTACAGGATCAATCATCATCGCCTTCTCGTTCGGGTGGAAGCTAGCATTGGTATCAACCTGCGTTGTCTTGCCCATAATGCTTGGTACATCATACTGGCGTTTCAAATATGAGATCCAGTTTGAGAAGATGAATAATGAAGTATTTGCAGAAAGCTCCAAGTTCGCATCAGAGTCCATTGGTGCATTCCGAACCGTCACTTCTCTCACCCTAGAGGACCCAATATGTCAGCGATTTGAAGAACTTTGCCGGGGCCACGTCGGGACAGCCTTCAAGAAAGCCAGATGGGTCAGTTTGCTCTTTGGCTTCTCAGACAGCGCTACCATGGCGTGCCAAGCTCTTGTCTTTTACTACGGCGGCCGACTACTTCTCAGTGGCGAGTACCAGATCTTGAACTTCTTTGTCTGCTTCATGTCTATCATTCAAGCTGGCGAATCCGCTGGTCAAGGATTGAGTTTTGGACCAAATGCCGCTCAAGTGACAGCTGCTTCGAATAGAATTTTGAACATGCGAGACTCAAGGCTGCGCGATGACCACTCTGAAAAGGATGACATTTCGGAGGCAAAGGGTGGGATGAAGATTGAGCTGGAAAACGTCCATTTCAAGTATCCTTCCCGCAACATTCCGGTATTCCAGGGGTTGAGCTTGACGATTGAGAAGGGCCAGTTTGCCGCTTTGGTTGGTGCATCTGGGTGTGGCAAGACGAGTATCATTTCACTCTTGGAGAGGTGTGTAACTGACCAACTTCTTGTCTGAAAAGTGCATGTAATGTGCTAAATATTGAGCCAGATTCTATGATGTGGAGAGGGGGCGAATTCTTTGCAACGGTAGAGATATCAAGGACGTGAACATATACGCCTACAGGCGACATTTGTCGCTTGTTGCACAAGAAGCGACCTTATTCCAAGGTAAGTAGCCTCGGTTGATGACTGTATCTGCCATTCAGCTTACAAAAGATGCAGGTACCCTTCGAGAGAACATCCTGCTAGGCGTCGACGACCAAGCAATTACGGAAGAAAAGCTCCACCAGGCCTGTCGCGACGCCTCCATCCACGACTTTATCGTCTCCCTCCCAGAAGGATACAACACAAACATTGGCTCTCGAGGAGTCACCCTCTCCGGCGGCCAGAAGCAGCGCGTAGCCATCGCTCGAGCTCTCATCCGTGACCCGAACATCCTGCTCCTCGATGAGGCCACTAGTTCCCTTGACTCGGAAAGCGAGAAACTCGTGCAAGCCGCGTTTGAGCGCGCTGGAAAAGGGCGCACCATGGTCGTTGTTGCACATAGGTTAGCTACTGTTCAGAATGCAGATGTCATTTTCGTGCTGGGCGAAGGCGGGAAGCTATTGGAGCAAGGCAACCATATGGAACTACTTAGAAAGAGGGGTATTTACTGGCAAATGGTGAGTATCAAACAGTATATACAACGTGAATTGCTTGCGAATTCTAACAAATGGCAGTGTCAAAGCCAGGCTCTAGATCGGTAATACATCATCGAACGGGACCACACCCTGGGGGAGGGGGGGCATTACTCATATCAACGGCGTTGTTGTTTTTTATTTTGGGTTCAACACTACCTATTGCGCTTGCATCTTGATTCATCTCGATCCATCTTGTTTACACACTACTCTTCATAATGATTCCTTTCTAGATATCAGACATTTTCAAGCATTTCAATATCGTGGTATATACACACAAAGCAAGCGCTATCCTACTCCACCTCTAGATGTAAGCTATACATAGATCAATATCACAATTCACAACCACCTTCGCACCGTCTACCTCGACGTCGACATGTGAAACATGACGTCACAAATAAGGCTCTACGTCTTCATATCCCAAAACTCGTCCAGCTCCTTCATAATGGCGGCAACATGCGTCATGACAAAGTCATGGCTCCCAGGCACGACTCTCCAAAAGACATGGCCCTCGCCGCCGACGAGCGGCAGCCCATCACGCGCATAGTCGTCGGCGCTAATCAACTCGTCCGTCTCGGCAAAGATGACGGCCGTCGTACCCCTTTCCCGCTTCGCCAGCCCCTTCCACTCCTCATGCTGCTCTGTAAGCGGCGCATACCGAATACACGACATGAAGGCCGGCACGAAGCCCTCGTGATTGTGCACCATCCACCGCACGTAGTCCAAGACCCTCTCCTCCAGAGGCGTCTTCTCGCCGGCCAGATTCTCGGCCTCGGCAACGGCCAGCACACCAGCGGCCCTGGACCTGGCAGCCCTCGACGACGCAATAGGCCGCTGCAGCCGCTGTCCGGTGAGGACGGCAAGAATGCGCTCGGGGATGAAGCCGCTCGAGAAGATGAAACGGCTGACGGCCCCAAAGGACGCGGCGTCGATGAGGCCCGCCGGCGCGAGCAGCACCAGCGACGACACCATGTGCGGGAAGGCATTGGCAAAGGGAATGACGATGCCGCCGCCCAGAGAATACCCAATTAGCCGGAAGCCCGAGGTGCCCGTCCAGCTGAGGCGGGACGACGCCAGCACGAGCAGGATCTGCGTGGTATACAGCCGCGTGTCGTGCGGGATGTCGCCCACGCCGTCGGTGAAGCCGCGCCCAAACAGGTCCTACCGCTTCGTCAGTCCTTTTTTTGCCAAGTTCCCACCAGACTTCCTCAAGGGGACATTGGCCGCAAACAACGTACAAACAGCATGACGCGACACCCCCGCTCAACCAAGGCATGTGCGATCCGTCCCAGCGTAATGCACGACGTGCTTATCCCATGAACAAGAAGCACCTTGTCGCCATCCTCCGGCCCGAACTCGTAGACCCGTATCGTGCCATACTGCCCACGGTGTTAGTCGGCAAGCAAACAAGCATGACTCCCTTTCCCTCAATGCTTCGTATAAAAGCAGACTTCCCCCCGCCCAAAAAAAGAAAGGGAAAAAGAAAAACCATACCGGCGTCTCGACGTCCCTCGCTCCCGGAAAGGCATCCGGCAAATACACCAGCTCGCTCAGCTCCTCCCTCGACGCCCTCGGCAGCACCGTCTTCAGCGGACTCCGCAGAACGCTCCGCCTCCTCGGCCACAGCGTCGCCTTGGCCACGACTATCAGGGAGGCGGTGGCGACGGCGGCGGTGGTAGCGACGACGGCCGGGTGAGGAATGTCTGGCCAGCGGAGGAGCGTGTCCATGGCTTTGCTGGATTTGCCGGGCCGCACGGGACGGAAGAAAAGAGAGCGGTCGGTGGACTTGACGAATAGGCCTTGACGGTTGTTTTTTTTTTTAAAGAGAGAGAGAGAGAAAGATGAGGAAAAGGAAAAAACAAAGAGCGAAGAGGCTATGTCCGAGGAGCAAGAGATGGTTAAGTCGAGGCCTGGAATGAAGGCGTTGAACGAGCTGAAGCTGCCTGGCGCCCTGCTTTGGGCATATGACGCCAGTGCCTGCCTGCATTCGCTGTGCATGCATGGCTGCATGTGACCCCGTACGGCGTACCCCACGCCCACGGCGTCGGGAGCTACGGAGCTCCGTGGGCGGCAGGGGCAGGCTTGACTTGCCAGGGAAGGCGGCTCTGGGGTCACCACTTGGACGCCGGCGTGGACGGCATATGGGCGAGAGGGGCGATTCTACTTGACGGTTTTAAATTGTCCCCAAGTGTGCGGCGTGGCGTGGCTGCTCATATGGCATAACTTGTCAAAAATCATGGTCTACAATATGTGTTCATGTTGCTTTGTGTACGTATGCGGCAGCGGCAAGGGCCATGGGCCATGGGCCGGCCTCACTCTTCCTGAGTTGAGAAATCCATATGGACATCTTGGTATTATATCTTTTGTAGGTAGATTGGCATTGCAATGCCGAATCGTCGTGTACCTTGTCAACAGCACAGTATCCTTTAGTACGTCCTCCATCGACGTCCGCCTGTCTTGTCCACGCCGAGTTAGCCCAAGCCAACTGCCCACGCCGCATTCCCGAGCTGTTTTATCAGTTGTATCAAGTTCTCAACCATGGCAGGCAATCCCTCTTGCGCCTGCGTAAAGTTCACTCGCAGTACATCCTGACCCATCTCCATGCAGGCTCGAGGGGCGTGCAGTGCTGCCTCCGTTGCTGTTCCACGAATCGCGGGTCCCTTGATCATTGGCCGACCTTGCTCGAAGCCGATAAATCGCTGAATCGCAATCGAGTCCGCACTGTCCAAGTATATTGGCTCCGCGCCAATTTGTGACGCCACATACTGTCGTCGGTTTGCCCTTGTCACCACGCCATATGTCCACAGTGTTATTGAAGCGTGGTGTACTGCTACCGCATAAAAGTCCTTCAAGTGGCCTGGCGGGAAGAACTTGGCGTATCGTAACACCTGCGACGCACACCAAGCCGCCGAGCGCGCTTCAGAACTCGTGATCCATTGCTGCAATATCGGGTAGATGCGCCGTGCCTGGTCCTCGCCCTCCTTGCCCAGGAACAACTGCAAGTCGTCAAGAGACACATGCAGATTCATCATGAGAAGGTAGAGGAGTAAGTGCTCCCGCGCTGACATGCCTTGCCAACCAGCCGCAATGAGGTGAAAGCTTTGGAGGTCCTTGACTAGCTCTTGGTGGCGAGAGCTCAGTAGCAAATTGGGGTTGCCTCCGAGGCTGTTCGCATACGACCGCGACTTGTGAACCGAGCTGAGTTGTCGATACTCGAGGATCAGCGCCCAGAACCCGTGAAGAAAGATCGAAATCGAGAATTGGACGTCCAGGCGCGCGTGATTTGCCGTCAACAGGTGGACGTCGTGGAATAGGTCGCCCACAGACGGTGGCCGCTTAGAAAGACCCGCGTTCCTCTCCAGGTACTGCGCCTTCCATTCCTGTGCCGTCTTTGCCAACCACAACTCTCTAGCTTCGGGCAATGGCAAGGTCAACTCTGAATACGACAAGCATGGGTTTGTCAATGTCGTCATCGATGTCTGAGCCTCTCGAAGATAACAATGGAAGACTAGACTATACCAAATATTAGCCCGCCGTCTCCATACGAAGAAATAGACACAACGGTGCGCACCGTTTCCATTGTTCTCTCTCAATCCACAACTTCCACTTTTCCTCGAGAACTTCGCCTTCATCTGATGGATCGACATTGATGATGGGATACTTTGCTCGTTGGAATTTGCCCCGATATCGCATCATCTAGTCTCGCTGTTAAGATTACGTTTGTGGTTTGGGCTACACACGTGACACCGGGTGCGTACCGTGACAGGAATGACAAGATGGCATTCTGCAATCTCCATCCTACGGCGATTGCCACTCCAAAGACCGAGGTCTTGGACCAGGATAAGTGATTGAACTAAGCCTAAACGTTGGATTGCCGTATTGTTTTCCTCGAACTGCCGATACGTCAGCATTCTCCTAGAACTCACTCAAGGGATCCGGAAAATGTTCATACCCGACTGGGGAGTGAGAGGCCTGTTTACGACGTCAGCCCAGAGCTTGAATATCTTGGTTGAACATGTCACTACTTACGGACGGCTTCCATCACTGCGAACCCAAATTTGCGCAACGTTGGCACCGGCGTCAAGGAGCCTCCATGAGCGGCAGCCATGGCGATCCACTCTGGCCACTGATCCTTGAGTTTGAACGTAGGGAAATGAATCCATGAATCTACTTGGCAAGCTTGAGCAGCAAGATATATATGCGTCAGAGTATCCAACACTTCCACGGTGGGGAAAGACGCGGCAACCTGATTAGCCACGGAGGTTTGGCGGCACTGGGAGAGGAGAATGGCCATAACACGGTCCCGCCCGGATTGTTCCAGTTTCTCAGCAACAACTCTTTCCAAACAATCTCGGCTATGTTGAAATTGGGAGCTTGATGTATCTTGGGTCGATACAGCAAAGAAGCTCTGTTCCTTATACCCGTTGTCGTTGGAATTTGGATCCCAACGCCATGGCGATTCAGTCCAGACTTTGACCAGGCTCTTTCGCATCTGGTTTATCTCGGCCGAATTTTCGGGGCGGGGGATCAGATCCTGGGCCGGCATTGTGCCTTCAATCATGCCGTCCATGTTCCATTGGTCCAGCATGCCGAAATCCAGGTCTGTCAGTTCAAGGCTGGCATTGTCGCAGAAATCAAGAACCGGCATTCCTTGTGGGGTTGTCATCTTGTTTGGATCAAACGGCTGCTCATACAACACATCTCGAAGAAAATCGAAGAACGGCGAGTTGTTGAAATCTATGACTCCTGTTGGAGGTTCATATACTGGCGGTGCAAGTATTTCATTGTTGGCTAAAGGGTGGTTGTCAGCACATGCTGCTTGCCATTCACATCTGAGTGAGGCCTTGTTCATGTACATACCTTGGTCCAAGAGAGTTTCTGGCGTGGGCAATTGGCTCTCCTCGGGTTTAAATGACGTCGTCTGTGAGTAAGGGCTGGTCTTGCTGCTAGCCTCAGGGCCAGAGGCAGGGCCATTAGGCGCTGAATTGGCATGGCTGTGCGCGACTGGGGAGGAAGAGTTGCCTGACTCTGTGCTGGAGGCGGCTACAGGTGCTGCTACAGCTGTGGCAGAATGACCAGAATCATGGGCAGCCGTGGCGTGTGTTTTTGGTGGGATATGGTGATGAGGGTTGGACGAGGGGCCGGCTTCCGAGAAGATGCAAGTCAACTTGCGATTGACACAACGCCTGCATGGCTTGGAATCGTCGCACTTGACTCTGGCCACAGCGCATGGTCGACACGCCTGAGAGACACGACCTGCTGCGGGAGACGAGTTTATTCGCCGTCGTTTCTGCGGCGAGTCATTCTCGTGATTCGCAACATGGCGGCGCAGAAGATCCTTTCGAGCAAAGGATTTTTGGCAGACTTCGCAAGTAAAGCGTCGGCCTAGTGTGTGGGTTTGGACGTGTCTGACCAAATGCTCTGGCCGGGAGTAGGAGCGTCCACAATCCCGACAGGCATACAAGTTGTTGCCTTCATGATTTTGACGTGATGAAGTAACAGAAGTAGAGCCCTCAACTGGCAGCGCTGACGTGGTTGTCGTGGTGGTCGCGGCCGAGGCCGAGGCCGAGGAGGGAGCAGACTCTCCAGTATTGCGGTACGGCTGTGACTCAGTCGACCCTGGGACTGTGGCTAGAGAGCGGTGTCCTATTCCGAAAGATTGCTGCGAGCCTGAAGCCCCAGTACGCGGCAGCGACACAGCAACATTGGGCCGAGATTGCGGCTGAGGCTGAAGTCGATATGGCTGAGGAACATCCGACACTGACGAAACCGGTCGTGGGGGATGAAGAATCTGCGATAACGACGGACCGGTCATGGCGCGGCCAGGAGAGCGGCCTCAATCCCCGACCCCGAGAATTGGAATCTCTCCGAGGTACTCCGTACACAATGCCACAATCTCACGAGGAGCTCGCGTGAGTGATGGAATTCCTGGAGCGCATGAGTGGGCAGGTAGCTGTGTGCAGCACTCAATGCAGTATCTCGAGTCTGGTGTGTATTGCCAAAGGTCAGAAATTCAGAATACCAGGAGCCGGTAGTCTTGGCAACTGTTCAAAGTAATTACAGTAAAGGCGAAGGCAAAGTGGTTCGGGGCCGTACTGATGGCACAAAGAATGCAGCGCTTGGTTGTCGTTGGTCGGCTCAATGTTGTCTGAAAGACGGCAGCTAGATTGCTTAGTCGACAGCCAGATTGATTGCCGGATACTTGCGGCCACACACCTTTTTCGGGACCAACCCACACCAAGAAGCCCAAGACGCCGCAAAGAGCAGAGTTCGGAGTACGTACAGTATTCCGTACTGCAATGAGATATCGGAGGCGGTCACTCGCGTACTGAAAACTCAAGGGTGGAATTTGAGGTTATAGGTTTCACGTGTGGGCGGACTCGGTAGGCGTCTCGTCTCGTAGCCCATCTACACTCGGCGTAACACTGCGTTCTGTAAGGACAGCGATGATGACGGTGATGATGACGATTGATGGGCCTCACGTTCTGATATTAAACTCAGAGTCGATCCCATGGTCTGGCTGTCCTTGCATGATCAGTTGCTGGTCCGTGTCGACGGCCCTGCGTTCTGGTGCTGGGGTTGGCGGCTAGGGGTGGAGCCCTCGTCTCGAAAGGTCAAGTAGCGAGACGCTAAGTGGGCAGGCAAACACCCCGAGGATATTAATTCAATGTTCCGACTGTTCAAATTGATGTTCTATCAAGTTGACATCAGTTGACCTGGGGACCAGTCGACGCCTAGAATGCGCTAACCCGCAGCCATCGGCCGCTGTAGTGACTGCATTGACTCACCATCAAGTGTCTGGTTCAGTTGACCTGAGTCGGACAGAGTCTGAAACTAGCGGCAATAAACACGCCTCGCGATTCATTCGCCTGCATGGGGGCCGGCGGAGGCCAGGGCATCCACGTCGACACCCCAAAAACACCCTGATGTGCCTCTTGGCTCTCGGTTTGTTTCCTGGATTCGTCCACACCGTCTATGAGCAATGAGCATTGAGTACATACATACCTCTAATACTTTTACTGACCTTGCCTTCCCAGCAAAAACAGAAAAGAAGAAGAAAACCACTACACGATCAATAGCGAACGCAAGGTCAGTGTGTCCCCGGGGTAACAGTCACAGCGGGAACCAAAAAAGAACATGACCAGCTCCAAGACACACGGCCCTTCCCCATCAGAAGCTGATGAACTGATGCGACGTCAGCTTGTAGCACTATGGAGCTACGATGCGGCCTACACAAATCAAGGACCATACCCACGCTCACGCTCAAGTTGAGTGTTGCGTGGCTATCGAAGGCTTAGGACAGCCGGTCCCCTTCTCCCAGACCTGGGCCGAGTATGAGCGATCATCATCCTTTCTTGAACATCTGTTTACCGGCTGCAGATCGAGTCTGAAGTGCGACATTGGGCTTGAAGAACAATAACATTCCTTCCACACACATGCGCGCGCCTTTTGAATTCATTTGCGCTTCACAGCTGCATTCGGCCACTAGAGGCTGATACTGCTCCCATCGTTGGCCCAGTCGAACGACAGCAGCCCCAACGGACCTGCTATTACAGTAGTATGTGCATACAAGTGTGGCGTAGGGCTTGGCCCGTCTGGTTGGCCAGCACAGAACATGGCAGATGGGATGCCTCGTTGGTGGGGCAGGTTGGGTTGCTGGGCCTGCTCAGATCAGTTCAGAGTTCAGAGCATGCCTGGCAACATCGTACTACTCGGTCTGTACAAACATAATCGGAGCCAGCCAGCCACAGGGAAGAGGGCATGAACGCAAACCGTTCGCCTCTCTCTGTGCTCCGTACCCTAACCACTCGCGCATCGGCAGTTCATGTCTGGCCATCGAATTTGAAGCCACAATGTCTAACTCTGACAAAAGAGCTTAGTGGAATGAGTGCAGTGTACTCTGTACACCAAGCGCTGGTCGCCTTCAGTCGGTGATAAACCAGTCAATAATGTTCAGCAGTATTTCCGGCGGAGCTCAATGCAGTGTTCCCAAGGCTATCGTGGTAAACACTGGAACACCGAGACACCTGAATCGTAACACCTGAATTGTGACACCTGTCAGGTCAATTAGACTTACAGCCAAGGACACAGTCTCAGGGAACAGGGTGTCGCGAAGATTTGTTAGTGGCATTATTAGCCAAAAGCCTTGGCAAATGCAACTCTACCTCTGAACCACTGATATTTGTCAAGGTTTTCAACCTGCATACCCTCGTTACTTTTTATTCCAACACCGTGGGATTGGGTACGTCGTATGTGCACCGAAAGCAGTGTGGGACACGCCGCCGCCCGCCTTGCATGTTCCGGCGCCATCTATCCTACATGATCCTGGTGTACGGAGTACATAGCATGGCTCAATCAAGATCATCCGAGATTTGCTACGGCAACGGCCGTCAGAAAATTCATGACATGAAGCAGTACCCCCATACGCAAAAATAGAGAACTTGGCCTTCCGCATGATTCGGCCCCCGTTTGGATTTGACGTCTCGCGACTTGTGATACACAACTCAACATGACATGAGCTCCAGCAGAGCGACTCTATGCAAATAACTACATAGCCTGGGTGTGACACTTTGACCATCATCGTGGTTGACCATTACAGGCTTTCGTTCGAAAGATTTCTCAGCTGGTCGTTCGTGCAGATATCCGGGGCGCCGACGCCCGCCGCTCAAAGGAAGTTAATCTGTGCGACTAACCGTTCGGCATTGGATCTGAACCTAAGCTGTACACCCCTCTCTACAAGATCCCATGTCTCAAGTGTAAGCTTTTGATCAGAGTCCAGTCAGGTGTCCACTCCTCTCCAATGAGACACTGTGTTTCTGGACGGGGTTGATGATATAAGTCACTGCCGCCCGAGACTACTCCCTAATCGCACTCAATCGCTTCATGGAACAGTTCTGCTGTTAAATTCACCTCATATAGTACTCTAGAAGAACTCAAGGGTTGTCCAATACTGCGGACGTCGCCATGACGGAGAAGTACGAGGCGGCCGCCTCGACATTGGACCCCAGTGCGTGTAACCCGGCTGTGGAGAGCCGAAGGAAGCGAACACTGGGCAATGTTCGGTTGATGCATCACGATACAAACGCCATGATTCTGGTACCAACGCCGTCATCAGATCCCAATGACCCATTGAATTGGTATGTTGTTCCTGTCATAGTCTCTGGTGTCAATTGTCAGACTGCCTTGGAGCGGTGCGCTGATTCCCTATTTTGTCGCAAAGGCCAAGGTGGAAAAAGAATTACATTGCGGTAGTTCTCTGCATCGCCATCGCCATGTGTAACTTTCTTGCGGCTGGCCCAACTATTGCCATTGTCGATACCGCTATTGACTTCTTCCCCGATGCTATGAAGACCAATTCCCTAACGACTTACGCCATTCCCAAGGTGGCGTACTTCTTCACTACCACTGCCCTGCTTCAGGGAACCGGAAATCTCTTCTGGGTACCAATGGCCAACAAATGGGGGCGTCGACCGGTGTACATCTTCAGCTACCTCATCTACTTTGGAACTTCAGTCTGGCTCATCTTCGACAAATCGTACGGCGGCTTCCTCGCGGCAAGAATTTTGATGGGGTTTGGTGCAGGCGCGGCAGAAACGATTGCGCCAATTTCCATTGCTGACGTCTTCTTCCTCCATCAGAGAGGACGCATCATGTCGTTGTATACTTGCTTCCTGTCTATTGGCGTTGCCGGTGGGTTGGTAATCTCCGGCCTGATCACTATTAACCACACTTGGCGGACAATTTACCAAGTCGGCTCTGCTCTCGTTGGATTTGTTCTCCTGCTGGCCATTTTCACGCTTCCCGAGACCGCCTATCCTCGAGAAAAGGTCGTTGATACACACTCCGCGGGTCCGACTGACGAGAATCGATCTCGTGGCTCCTCATCATCTGAAGTGGAAACAGGTTCCAAGACTGTCCCCAAGAAGCGCACATACCTCCAGTCACTCAAGATCTTCTGTGGAACTCTGACCGAGGAGAATTTCTTTCAAATGGTGATTCGTCCTTTCGGACTCATTCTGCTGCCGCCTGTTCTTTGGGCTGCTCTTGTTCAAGCAGCTACAATTGGATTCCTGGTCGCCGTGACATCCAACGTTGACCCAGCCTTTGAGCAGACGTATTATTTCAAGCCGTATCAAGTAGGATTGTGCTTCATATCTGCCATTATTGGGTCGTTGCTCGGCATCCCGGCCGGGGGGCATTTTGGCGATATTGTGGCGGACCATCTTACCAAACGAAACGGTGGAATCCGCGAGCCCGAGATGCGACTCCCAGCTGTTTCGTTGTCTGTCTTAACATCCCCGCTGGCGCTCGTCCTGTACGGAGTCGGTATTGAACACAAGCTGCATTGGATATGTCCGACAATAGGGCTAGGTCTTTGTGGGTTGATGCTTTGTCAAGATGGCTCGAGGAGAACGATGGCTAATCAAATTTACCAGTGAACTTTTCCATCACCCAAGCCACAAATATTTGCTTGGTGTACGTCATCGACGCATATCGACCAGTTGCAGGCGAAGTCACCCTGGCTGTAATGGGGTTCAAATGTGAGCGTTTATCTGCAGACCAACTTGACGCATGGACGGCAAGGTTAACAATGAACAGCTCTCTTTGGTTTCTTGTTGTCATTTGAGACAAATCCTTGGATCAACGCGAGCGGCTACCAAAACGCATATGGGGCCATGGCTGGTATTTCCGCAGGCGTTCTCATCTTGTGGATTCCTTTATACTTCTGGGGCAAGAAGATCAGACATGCGACTTGGAAGTGGAGGGTGTTGTCGTTTATACATTGGAATGACGATCGTGAGGTAGGAGAATAGCAGGAAATTTTGTGGCTTCCATGTATGTTGTGCGGACTTTGTGGATTTGGCATGTGTGGTTGAATCAAAGTTGCAGCAGGCGTTCAGACGAAGGAGTACTTGTGTACCAAAGAAGTGGTGGCGATGCAGGAAGCTTGGTGGAGACGCGGGGCCCCGCACTTTTTAATGGGACTTGGGAAGTTGGGAGGAGACGGCTGAGCATTTGCATATGCAGAGCGGGCATGGAGCAAGCCGTCGAGAACAGGGGCATCTGTGCCGACAACGGTCCCCCTCACTGGCGCCCCAGTCTCAACTCTCGATAGACTATCACGCATCTCTGAGAGCTCCCGGCATGGAGCAAGATAGTAGAGCCACTGCCAAGGCGTGCGATGCCTGCCGACGGCGTAAGCTGCGGGTATGTTGAGCATGGTACTCTCTCACATTGGCAGGACGAGAACGCTGACAGTTGGACAAGTGTCGACGGGGTATTTCAGAGTCCTTGTCGGATCCTAGGTGCATTAGATGTGTGCGTACAGGGCTGCAGTGTACATATAACGATGAGCGACGACCAAGAGGACCAAAAACGGGAAGGTGAGTAGCTACAACGGGCAATGTCCATCCAGCCTCATCCAGGGACTCATATGATGTGGTAGTCGACTGAGAGAGCTCCGGGCCTCCCAAGCGATTGACTCTGGAGAACAAACGCCCTTTCTGCCTAGTTCATCACGCCCCAGCCCTCCGGAGATCACGGGTTGGGAAGAAGAGATGTCTGAGGCCGGTGGACGTCGAGACCAGTCCACTGACCCTGTGCCGTATGAGTTCTCGGAAGATTATCTCGATAAGGTTGACCTCGAGCAAGCACACGGCGCTGATTCTATACCGCATGATTTTGGTCTGGACCAACTGCTGTTTGTCACACCGGATACTCTCCCATTTGATCTCGAGCCGGCCGCCCCCGTCTCCGCACTCCAAGAGTCCGAACTTAGTGTCACCTCTGCTGCAATCCTACATGGAAATAGTATCGACATTTCAAAAGACGCTATTGTTGCTCAGGTATCACAATGTTTTTCTGCAGTATACCAGCGCTATCCGCTATGGCACCTGGACACGCTCGTTGGCAAGATTGAGCGCGAGGAATGTGCTACCGATAACGAGTTCCGTTCTACCTGCCTCTCGATATATCTCCTCAACGAGTCATCCCTATTCCGCAAAAATCCACATCACGGCTCAACTCGCCTTTTACGACTAACAGAAGAGCTTGAAACGACGCGCGCTCACTCCAACATCAACCACTTTGCCGATTGCCCATCCACGGCGTCTGTCATTGTATCATTGGTATTGTTTATTGCGCACAGTGTGACTGATAGACATAACCTCGCATTCTACTATCTGAATGAAGCGGCGGGGCTGCTTGGCCTGGTCGACATCGACGCCCTTGACTCTCTCGAAAGAGCATTGTACAGACGCCTAGAAGCCATCCTGTTCGTCACAGAGTCCGCATCAATGCCGGTCTACGGAAAGCTACGAAAGAACCGAATGGTTCCCTGTCCCGAGAACTTGGGCGCCCTCGAATCCTCAATGCGGTGGTACACGGAGCAACACCGGCCAACTTGCACACTGCCGGCAGCCCTCTCCGATATCCACCTCGGCTCTCTGGACAACAAAGCCGTCAACTTGCTACACGCCCTCGTATGCCTGTACAACGCCACGACAGCCGATGAAATCTCCAAAGTATCCGTCCCCAGTCCCGCCGTGTCCGAAATCATCGAGCAAGGTGTCCTCGGGAGCACATCTCTCCAAGCAGCCGACGTGGATATAACACGCCAGTGGCAGCTCTGCCTCCGCTGGCGAGACGTCTTGTCGACTCGCAAGTCCAAGTCGTGCTCTCGGTCTACTCCTGGGGCGGCATATACGCTCCAGATAATGGGACTCACGGTGCTTCAGTACAGTAGGGCACTACGACCGGGCGAGTGTAGACTCGTGGGGCACGGGAAGTTGGCGAGTCTTGCGACCGCGATTCACGATATATCCTCGAATTTAGGCATTCTCGCGAGTTGTTCAAGTGTTATTGGGGACTTGATCCGGACAGTGTGTGAGACGGATTATGAGGGCTTCTTTGCGCCGCAGCTGAGTTTGGTGCAGCTGTGTATCGAGACGGTCCCTAGGCAGCTTACGTTTGGGGAGCAGGATGCGCTCGTGATTGACGAAAGGCAGTGACTACCTTGTGTGATTTTCGATCAACTTCACTTGTTTGAAGCACTCTTTTGTTTTCCGAGTCATTGATTGCACGTATTGGAACTGCACAACGCATCTGCCCGATACACGCTGGAAAGGGGTTTTATTTCTCATTGAAGTAATAGCCAAGTTTTCAATCTGTTTAGAGACCAACGTGAAAGAGAGAAAATACTACAGCGAGTTCAAAGCATAGTCTAGAATTCTTGCCTGGTTTCTGAAAAACTGCCGAGCAACATGCGTTGTCGGCGGAAACAACAATCCATGCGGCACGCCGGGAACCACGTCCAGCTGCGAGTCGATCCCAGCGTCCCTAATCCGGAGAGAATATGCAATGCCCTCGTCTCGAAGAAAGTCCCTTCCCGCGACAGTGATATGCACAGGGGGGTGGTTGGCGGGTATATCGGCACTCAACACCGACACATGGGGGTTGAGACTCTTGTCTCCCGCGTATTTCCCTATGGGCCACGTTAGTCTTGAGACCTGCTCGCCGTCATGTCGGAATGCCCTACCTATCAGGATGGCCGCGGCGGCGGTTCCCAGCCCTGCACCGAACTTGTTGCTGCTCGACTCATCGGCCTTGAGTGTCATCGGGTACAGCTGCGGATGACAGGTTGCCGGCACGACTAGGTTGACGTGGCGGATACGTGATTCCTCGTGCTCTTCCGCATCGCGAAGTGCCACTGCGGCGGCGAGGTTGCCTCCTGCGGAGCAGCCCCATACCGCGATCCGCGCCGTGTCGATGCCATACTCTTGTGCGTGGTCGAGGGTCCATTGGACGGCCTGATAGCAGTCGTTGAGGGGGAGTGGGAATTTGTGTTCCGGGGCGAGGCGGTAGTCCACGTTTATGACAATGGCTCTGAGTTCTGAAGCGAAGAATATCGCCAGGTCTGTTTCGAGGCGTTATTAACATGCAAACTGTGTGCCTTCTAGGCTAGCTCACTTGCCTTCGTCTACTTCGGGATAGCCATGAATCCAGCCTCCACCATGATACATGATAAGCGCGGGCCTACTAGGCACAGACTGCATGTCTCCTGCGGCGGGAACATACACCCTCACTCTGAAAGTGGCATCATCAGATCCATAGGTAATGGACACGTTCTTGATGGCAATTTTTGCAAGGGGTCGTCTGTGGCAATCTGCTGGCGGGCCTCGGGGGAACTTCATAATCACTTCATCTACCCATTTCCTGGCAATTTTCTCGTCAAATGGGTCTGCGAGGGCGGTATTTGCATACGGAGGCTTGGAGATGCCCTGGTCATGTTAGTGACGAATCGTTGGAATGGAGCTAAACTTGTAGTAGGCTCGGGTTGGAGTCACCTGTATGTAATCTTGGTCTACGGCCTCAATGATGGATGAGTTCTTGTTCTCTTGCAGACCCATTTTCTCAGCCTCGGCCAATCTAGCTATGGACTCGCGGAGAGTTGCCTCTAGGCTCGAGTTCGGGGGATCTGATGCAGCCACGGCAGCCATCGTGGTTCGGTTGGAGTACAGCAAAAATGCTCGAATCGAAAAGAAGCGCTCCAGAAAGTGAAGGATACACAGACAATAGACCGCAGAATATGAAAAAGTACAATAACAGAAATCCGTCCACATAAATACGTATACGCCCAGACGTTGGAGATGCTGACCTCGACACTCGGCGTTTAGTCCAGATATCTCCCCACGATGTGGCGCCGCCACGCGGAGTCGGCGTCTTGCTCGGAAGCAAGCTCGGGGAAACTTGGTTGACTCGTTCCTGGGCGAAACCACCCAGGACACGGGGTAGCAGCATGGCGATTGCAATTATTGATTTTGTCAATGGATTTGTTTCATTTGGGCCACAGCTGATGACTTGCGTTTGTCATATTTAGCTAGTGGTCTGCTGTTGCTGCGTTTCCACATTAGTTTGTGGTGTAGTTGCCTACTTCAACAAACATCTTCCTGCAAGTTGACGCACCCATACTGTAAACATGGACACAGTCGAGTCGAAGGAGGTAGCGACTTCTCATGTCGATGATGCGTATGTTGCCAAACAGTCCATGGTGATGGATGGAAATGGCCGCTGGTGGAACTGGCGCGTTATTGCGAATCGTGAGTCCGCCGGTCCCTCCATCCACCCAGTCCGGTTTTGATCATCCGTCATTGACTTGCTTCGTGCTTCAAGTCGTTATTGTCGGTTTAGCAATGGGGCTATTCGGCTACGACAATGCCTTCGCCTCGCCTCTCGTCTCGCTGCCTTTATTTGTGGAGAGATATCAGGGCCCTGGATTCCAGGGAGCTCTCGTGTTTTCGGTGAGACCGAGCAGGTCAAAGACAGGAAATGGGAACTTGATGCTGACTGGTGGGATATAGGCTAGAAACTTGAGCCTCATCATCTGCATACCCCTGGTTGGAGCGGCCTGTGGTGCCTTTGCAGCCATCCCTGTACAAAAGCATCTTGGCCGCAAGGGGGCGTATATACTCGCATATTCACTTCTTTGCGTCCCAAGTTCGATATTGCAGGTGTTTGCTCCAAATTTAGGGGCCCTTGTTGTTGGACGTTTTGCAAACTGTACGCAACCATAACCCCCACAACTCCTCTTCTCTTCACTACTAAGTTCTTGTTCGGCTTCAGACGTGGGCGTCAGCATCCTCACGAACGTCTGTCCCGTTTACCTATCTGAACTGATCCCCGCCCACTTCCGCGCCAGAGCTGTCGGATTCACTGTTGCCGGTAGCGGCGTGCTCTCCGTCGTCGCCACAGTCGTCGTATGGGCCACGGAAAAACTTGGAGACCAGTGGCAGTACAAGATCCCGCTCCTCGTCCAAGCTGTCTTCCCTGCCACGCTCGCCCTGCTATCTCTTTTGCTGACGGAGTCTCCTGTCTGGCTGCTCACCAAGGGGAGACATGATGATGCCCGAAGGAACCTGCTCCTGCTCCGCGGAGCCAACGCTGCTCTTGTTGAGAAAGAACTTGCCCTGGCGGCTGCTGCTTTAAAGTCGCATTCCGAGCAGGCCAATGTGAATGTATGGGAGATTCTGAAACCAGCGAACCTCGAGAGGACAATTTCTGCGTCTGCGCCGCTGTGCCTGAGTCAGGTCGGCGGCCAGATTCTAGTTTTGACGTATTCGACGGTTATTCTGGTACAGAGCGGCGTAGCTGATCCATTCAAGATCACAATCATCATCTTTCTGCTGCAGTTTCTGGGAACGCTCATTGGACCATTTCTACTCGACAAGATTGGGCGGCGGCCGGTTGCCTTGGCGGGCTTTGTGGTTTTATTTGCGATTGACGTTGTGTGCGGTGCGATGGCCTGCGCTGGGCTGGCAACTCAGTCTCAGAGGATCGGGTTGGCCGCGCTGTGTATTGTCTTCAGCTTCACCAACGCCACTTGTTTTCAGTCGATGTAAGTGATGTCCCTGTTCATATAGCATGGGAGTGTACATGGGTGGTACATGCGAACTGACAAACGGATAACAGCGCGTACGTCTTACCAACGGAGGTTCCGACATCACGACTTCGTGAGTCAACCATGGCTTGGACCACGTTTTGGAGCTACACTACGGCTATTATTACCACATTTGCTGTTCCTCAAATCACCAACGCAGATGCGTAAGTGTGCCGTTCCCCCAAACCTGACATACGTCGGTTGGCTGACAAGGTCCGTCTGATAAGGGCCAACCTGGGAGCAAAGGCTTTCCTCATCTTCGGAGGCTGCATGTTGATAACGTTGGTTTGGTCGTACTTTTACTTGTGAGCTTACGGCTAAACCGTCGCCAGAGGTGGTTCCCAAGTCCTGACCTTTTTCGTAGGCCTGAAACATCAAACCGGACTCTTGCGGAGATCGACGAGTTGTATGCTGAAAGAATTCCGAAGCGACACTGGAAAGGTTAGTGGTTTGCATGGTAGTGACGGACTCGTGATATACTTGAGCATGCTAATCATTAGCAGGGTACAAATCTACTGCAAACGAGATTGATAATGACAATGCGGACCGCTAGAGATTTCATGTTGGAACATTGAAGCCAGAAAGAAGATCAGTGGGAGGAGGGACAAAGTAGAGTCTCCACATGGCTGTAGCGCAATGTGACATGGAACATTGAAGCTTCAGCCAAAATTTGAAGTTGCATGTGAGTCTGGTCAATAGCTCAAGGCCATGCGGCGGAAGCTAGCGGACCGGACATTATTGGAGCCTGTGGATCCACATGCGGCGATGCAGCGGCGTGCACTCTAAGTACTAATCATGCTGCAACCACGGAGTAAAACTAGTATGTAGGACCGGTAGTAATGAAGCTCAATAAACGGCAGGGAGGGCTAAAGTTGAGGCGAGCACTCTAATTACTCCGTAAGAGCGCCTCAAAATTACTGCCTGGCGTCTAGAGGCCGAGAGGGGCGGGCGCAGGGCACTTGACCGCGAGTCTTATGACAGGCCACCAGCGCTGCACACTGACGCAAGCGTGATCGCGTGCCCAAGCTTCCCCTCTCCAATGCGCGACGTCTGCAATCATCTGCGAACAGAGGTCGTGCGTCTTTGCTTGTTGGCTTGTTGGCCATGGCCTGATGGCCCAAGACACTGACTGCTGTGGCTGGGCTGAGGCCCTCGAGTTGCAAAATTTAAAAACTGGTCCCGGGGTCTGGACAGTCAGTGGACACAGGACGAACCCATCCGGGCGGTCAACGGCGCCTTCAAAGCGTCTGGTCGACTGGTCGTGTGTTGGTTCGAGTGGCTCACCTAAGCTCAGGCCCGCCGTGCCGCCGACAACGCAACCCGAAACCTCGTGGCGTGGCGAGCTACACATCTCACCTTGTTGCATAATTTCGGGCACATCGTCTTGGGGCTCAGTCTTTTCTTCCTCTTTCCCTTCATTTCCCCCTTTCTCTCTTGTTGCCTGCGCAGCCTACACCACAACCCAGGTTTGAAGACGGCCTCATGTTCCAACATGTCGAGTCCTCGAGGCGGGTCCAGCCCCGTCCATAACGACCATCATCCAAGGCGACCAGAATCTACATCTACAACTTCACATGCTAGCGGTGGCCCACGGTACTGTCGTTGGAAAACAGCAGAGTTCCATGATCAAGAATGTTCCCGGTACTTTGACTGCCCTTCTCACGTAGTTGAACGGGAGATCTCCGAGTCAGATCATGTAGAGCAGAGTCAGCGAGCCGATAGTCCAGAAGCAGGACCGAGCGCCGGCATACAGATCAGCGACACTGAAGATGCACCTCGGCGTCCCTCGACCGATGACGAGAGTAACACACGACCCGAGTCCGGCTACTCGCATGTGCAAACGCAGACTGCTTTAGAGTCTGAAGCATCCGCAGCCCACCGCCAGTCTGCCATACAATCTGCCTCACTCAGTACCACCCAGTCCGCCGACGAGCATCAAAACGAGCCCACGGTGGTTCTTCCCATTCGATCGTCTTCTATTCCTATTCCACCACCATCACAAAGTCGAGAATCTGCTGTCCGCGAGGAAGCAGCAAGAGCACAAATGCACAACATGCCAGACCCAAGGGTTAACTGGGCAGACCTTGAGTCTCGTTATCGAGGCGCATATCTGCAGACGGCTCATGAAGGCGAACACCAGGCCATGGAGACTTTGCCTCGTACAATGATACGCCCACGGGATGTGCACCGCCCTCCTGCTCCGAGCAGGCGGCGCGAATCTGAGGGCAGACGGGCATCTCAGGATCACCGAGTGAACCGACCTAGGGGCGACGGCAGCGTCACACCCGAATTTGTGCTCCCTAGGTGGCAGCCAGACGCAGAAGTTACCTATTGTCCTATTTGTCATACCCAGTTTAGCTTCTTCGTTCGCAAGCACCACTGCAGGTACGCCATCATGTTTCCCAGGCTCCGACGGCGACGATTGTGGAAGCTAATACAGATATAAAGAAAATGCGGCCGAGTCGTCTGCGCCACATGCTCCCCGCACAGGATTATCATACCGCATCAGTACATTGTGAGGCAGCCGGGATCCGATATCTCGATGCCTCCCAGCTTGCTTGTCGACGCTATGGGGGCTGGCTATCTTGACGTCAATGGGTTATCAGGAGGCGAGCGCGTACGGCTCTGTAATCCATGTGTACCAGACCCCAACACGGCACCACCTGAGAGTCCGACACCATCTATCGGGTCTCCGCGATCACCACATCAAAGATCGCGTAGCAGTTTCGGACCTTCACATGGCGCCGGACATCCATCAAACAGATACGGGGCTGTATTTACTGGAGGAGACAACCGCGACCCTCTGCAGTACCATTATGCCAGGGCCAGGAGCATCACCATGGTATGTTTTGTTTTCTTCCACCTTTAATAGCACGACGAGGCGGATGGCCTTGGCTAATAGTGGCGTGCACATAGAACCCATCCGTCCAGAGTTCACCTAATCTCGCTCCATCCAGCCATCGTATGAGCGCGCCGCATGTCCATCCATCCCATCTAGAGCGCTTTTTAACCGCCGGCCCGTCCAACATATACCCATCCTCCTCACGCCACAGACACAGTTCATACGGCTACGGAGAAATCTCATCATCATCATCTCGACAGCGCGCCCTACCGCACCCTCCTCAAATTGCTGAGGAAGACGAATGCCCTGTGTGTCACCGAGAGCTCCCCCTTCGCTTGTTGCCAGACTCTGAAGCCCTTCGAGAAGCACACATCAACAAGTGCATCCGGGACCACAGCACATATGGCAGTCTCCGTCCTCCTGAGGGACAAGAATCGTCGGCGCCGCCAATGTTATCTCGCAGGACCGGCATGTACATATACCCAGCGACAGAGAAGGACTGCGTCGATGACGCAGAGTGTACGATATGCTTGGAAGAGTTTACGGTGGGGATACCCATGGCTCGATTGGAGTGTCTGTGTCGATTTCATAAATCTTGCATATCTGCCTGGTTTGTTAACCATCCCGGTCGATGTCCGGTTCATCAGCATGATGGATTTGGGTTCTAGGCATTGGCAGTACAATGCCCCCCCCTCGGATCGCCGTTGCAATTTAACACTGCCACGCAATCCTCTCTTATTGATTGCGGGGAATAGGTTTGGTCATTTCAGTCGTTCATGGTTCGTTTATAAGGCGGTCAATATTCTAGGCTTAGTGACTCCTCTCATTTCGGATGCGATACATTGGCGCTATCGCTGGGGTTGTCAAAGCTGGGCGTTTTGGGGAGGATTCGTATCGGGATTATATGGTTGGCGAAGAGCGAGACTGAGATTTAGAGTACAGAGGGTCAGAACTGCATCTCGAGTGTGAATAAATGATATCAGTAATAATGTGCTTGACTACATATGTAATCAGACGCAGCCAGCTAGTGAACAGTATTCGGCGAGTTGGATGTATTGTGCTAGGATATCGGAGGTGGTCGCTTCTCCAACAAAACAAAACAAAAAATATACATATGGAGTTTTAGGTAGGCATTCGACCCGACTACCTAGGTACTTAAGTAGTACGTACCTAGGTATGTAGGTAGGTACCTAAAGTGGCTATGCATCACGCATGCTGCTGTTGGACATGGTTCCGTGTGCCGAGTCCCAGCATCATGGTGAGCCGGAACATCTAATACTAGTAGAAGACTGCATTGTTGCGCAAATCAAGGGCTCAAGGACCGCCAGACCAGGCGTCCGTTTCATCAATATCGACTGTGGAGTAAAGATCTGAGTACAAGGGTCGCACACATGGGCTAAAGGTTGATGCGCTACACCAGACGACCTGGTGGCCGTGGTGGCGGGTTGTAGGTGAGATGACGATCGGCCAGGGTCTCCATTTTGAGCAGACATGGAGGACACAACGGCGTGGCTGACTGCGTCGAGGGATTTCGACATGGAGACTGGCTCCCGCAACCTTGTTGGCCTTGTTGGCGCTCGTCGGCGCTCGTCGGCACAGTCAACCAGATACTGTAGGCTCAAGTTGTATATACATGCTAGTACTAGTACGTAGACGGTACAGAGGAGGGTGAAATAACATTGACCAGACACGTGCATGCTCTTGAGCTTTGCTGCTGGTTTAATGTTCAGCCCCGGCTCCATACAGTATCTGCCTGGAGCATGTGCAGTTGAGAACACTTGAACCAGTGTGCAGCAACTTTAGAAGCGCCACTGCGCTACTCCACAGACCAGCCAGCCAATCAGCCCCTCCAGCCCCGCATGCGCCGCACTAGAGACGGGGAAGCTTGGCTAGGGAAGGCTGTGGCCGATGGGGCATCTCGTCAATGTTCAGCAGGGCCGGGGCCGTCCAAGCTGGAGGTTCCAAGGATATCTGCGAGGAGCTGGACCAGGCTGCATACAGGTAGCTAGGGTGCTTCGTGGGAACCGGAACGGTACGGAGAGCATTCAAGAATAATTTGAAATACTACTATGGCGTCTGGTGGCTAGACATGGCCGTGGGAGTTGTAGTACGGACGGGATTAGTACGGACGGGATAGTATGTGCCTGCATGGACAGGCGGCTGTGTGGAATGCATCAAGCAAGATGCGTAACTATTTACCATCGTAATTTATTTAGTATTTACATATATTTTATTCTACCGTCGACCTTTTTAGAAAACCCGCGACGTTGACTAGCTCCTAAAAAGGAGATTGCTGCTGGGGCAGTTGGACGGAATAGCGGCTTGGCCGTTGATGGAGCTTGATACGGCCGTCCGTTGCCCATGATGGAGGAGCATGCTGGGGCATGCTGTGGCCTGCTGGACCATGGTCAGCGCCAGCATGCGAGACATGCCAGCGAAGGGTTGAAACAATCTTGTATCGAGGAGGTACGTACTCCAGTACGAGTAGAACAAATGTCACTCGGTCTTGATACTTCTACGACTAGTAGTAGAACAGCTGACCCTTGACACTTTTCGGCTGCACAGGGCACCCAACTCAGTAAGGGCTTCAGTTGAACCGCTACGTAACTATGTACTCCGTCGCTCCTCCCAAATCCGATCACCCAGGGAGCCACTTGAACATCGAACCTCGATCCACTTTGCAGCTCTCCCACGGGCCAACCTTGGAAGTGATCCATCACGTCCGTCTTCTCTCTTCACACCAGACACCAGACTGGCCAATTGGTCCAACTGCCTTTCGCTCGCCACCCCCCTTCTGCGATTCTATCTGCTGCTTGTTCCTCTCGGCTCCTCTGAGCTGTTCTTCGTCTGGTCCCCAAAGGCAAAAGCCCCCATGGCTCAGTTCTTCTAAATCCACCCCCCGACCCCAACTCGTTATTCTACATACATTCTACATGCAGTGTTGTGGGTTCAGGGTTCCCTCCCGCCGCCTGCATCACTCAAGCCGCGTCTAATTTGCTACGTAGTACTACAGACTTCGAACCAAGTAGCTGATAGCTGGTCCAGCCACAGCAATCGCAATCCCCGGCAGACCACTTGAGACTTTGCAGAATCTAGCTTTGTTGTCCAGATTCTTGTTCAACCAGACCAGACTCCTCGTCCTTCACAGCCCAGTTTCCACTGGCACGCCCTCTTTTTCTTGTCTTTTTTTCTTTTTTCCCTTTGTTTCGATCCCACTCTTGACAATTTTGTCTTGCTCTTTGTGTACCAGCAAGACCGCTTCAGCCCCTCGCCATTGTCGCGACCAGAGACCTCAAATAAGCTGTCTCCTAAAATCTGTCATCAACACTATTACACCTGGCATTGACTCTATCGCTCCAACCTAGGTATGTCCTGCAAACGTCCATGCCCTACGCCCTGCCTCTGGAGCAAGGATGATGTCCATGTTCCAGCTCATGTGTTGCTCTGCCCACTTTGCGCCTCTCTGCGCTACTCAGCTGTCGCAGCATTTGCATGAGCACCCCACGTCATCACCCATCAATTGATTGATCCGTCACTCGTCACTCATTCCCCCCCAATTGCTTCCCGAGCTTCCTCGTCCCGTCCCTGCTAATCGCCCTCTTTTGCTAGCTACCAGTGCGCAATCTCAAGAGCCCTAGATACCGTTCTTTTGACCACCTACTCCCAATTGAAATCGACAGCATAGATTACCAGCATTTTTAAGCTGCCCTGGCTTTGCGCCTGTAGCCGGCGTCATGTCTGCCTTGCAGGAGCGTGAGCTCAAGCAGCAAGGCGCCATCGAGGCAGCCGAGGAGAACTTGGTCTCTCCCGAGCAGGCGGAGAAGCAGATGGTGGAAGAGGCCAAGAACGCCGGTATCCCTGCCTTCACTTTTGATCCAGATGCTACTCCAGAGCAAAAACGAGCTCAAGCTCAAGCTGTAAGCTATCCGCTTTTGCGCCCCTCCACAGCCATCCGTTGGTTCGCTGAGTGTTGGATGTTGAACCGTCGCGACCAGCGAAATGTAGGCGTGTTTTTTTTTGGTCCTGAACCTGCTGCTAATTAGCTCTCTTTTCTCCCTCATTTACAGGCAATCCCCCCCGAACTTCAAAGGAGAAGGCGCCCCAAAGGTGCTGCCATCATCACCGATGTCGACGATGGCACTGGACCTGACGAGGTACTTCCCGACATTGGGAAGGCTGGTGTTCTTGACGTCGCAAAAGATGCACAAGGCAAAGATGCGGCGGGCACGATTGGCGGTTCCCAAGAAGCTCCATACTCCCGCACCGGTTGGGCTCCCAAGTTCGGATGGGGTGGCGGCGTAATCGACGCAGAGAGTCTCCTGGATCATTCCACTTGGCTGGAGGGTAGATTGCCTCACAACCTTTACGGAGGTAAGATTTGACAACTTGGCAACTTCTTCTCTTGTAGCGAAGCCACAGAGCTCTTCACTGACCCGTTTGTGCCGAACCACCATAGACTGGTACCACAATACCGCATTGATTATCTTTGCTTGTATTTCCTCGTGGCTTGTCGCTGTTTTTGGCGGCGGCCTGGCCTGGATCATGGTTATCATGGCTATATGTTCAACATACTACCGAACCTCGTTACGACGAGTGCGTCGCAATTTCCGCGATGACATCACTCGAGAGCTTGCTCTGAAAAACCTCGAGAGCGATCACGAATCGCTGGAATGGATCAACTCCTTCATGGTCAAGTTCTGGCCCATCTATCAACCTGTCCTTGCGCAAACTATTATCAATTCGGTTGATCAAGTTCTCAGCTCTGCAACTCCAGCTTTCCTGGACAGTCTGAAGCTCAAGACCTTCACCCTCGGCTCCAAGCCTCCTCGCATGGAGCATGTCAAAACATATCCCAAAACCGAAGACGACATTGTCATCATGGACTGGAAATTCAGTTTCACTCCCAATGACACGGCTGATATGACGGCTCGTCAGGTTAAGAACAAGATTAATCCCAAGGTCGTGCTCGAGATAAGAATCGGCAAGGCCATGATTAGTAAGGGTCTCGACGTTATTGTGGAAGACATGTCTTTCTCCGGCATCATGCGACTTAAGATTAAGCTCCAGATTCCTTTCCCCCATGTCGACAGGATTGAAATGTGCTTTCTCGAACGCCCCACGATTGATTATGTCTGCAAACCTCTTGGCGGCGACAACTTTGGTTTCGATATCAACTTCATCCCCGGTCTCGAGAGCTTCATCCTGGAGCAAATTCACGGCAACTTAGCGCCAATGATGTATTCGCCGAATGTCTTCCCCATCGAAATTGCAAAGATGCTCGCAGGCACTCCGGTTGACCAAGCCGTCGGCGTCCTTGCGCTTACCCTGCATGGCGCGCAAGGCCTCAAGAATACAGACAATTTTGCTGGAACAGTCGACCCATATGCTTCTATTAGCTTCAGTCGCCGTCAGGAACTCGCCCGAACCAAGACCATCGAAGACAACGCCAACCCAAGATGGAACGAGACTCACTATCTCATTATGACATCCTTCAATGATACTCTCGACATTCAGGTATTCGACAAGAATGAATTCCGAAAATCCAAAGAACTCGGTGTCGCCACATTCCGCTTGGAAGACCTCGAAGAGCTCAATGTCCATGAGAATGAGAGACTAGAAGTCATTGGAGATGGTAAAGCTCGCGGTGTTGTATCCTGTGATTTGCGGTTCTTCCCTGTGCTTGAAAGCAAAGCTTTACCCGACGGCAAGGTTGAGCCGGCGCCAGAGTCTAACCAGGGAATTCTTCGTTTCACTGTCGAGCAAGCCAAAGACCTGGATGGAACCAAGAGTTTGGTCGGCCTTCTAAACCCATACGCAGCCATGCTCCTCAATGGCAAGATAGTACACCAAACCAAGATACTCAAGCGCACTAATAACCCTATTTGGGATAATGGCTCCAAAGAGATTCTCATCACAGACCGACGCAAGGCTAAACTAGGTGTCACGGTTAAGGATGATCGCGGTCTTATCAGCGACCCTTCCCTCGGAATGTACCAGATTAAACTCGATGAAATTCTTGATTGCATGGCACAAGGCAAAGAGTGGTATCAGTTGTCTGGGGCCCAGTCTGGCCGCGTCAAGATGATGGCACAATGGCGACCTGTCGCCATCTCTGGCGTCATCGGTACGGGTGGTTATTCTACTCCAATCGGCGTCATGCGGCTACACTTCCAAAAAGCCACCGACTTGCGAAACTTTGAGTCATTCGGCAAATCTGACCCGTACGTCCGTGTTCTGCTTTCCGGCATTGACAAAGCAAGGACTGTAACGTTCAAGAATGACCTTAACCCTGAGTGGGATGAGGTTCTCTATGTACCCATCCATTCTCCCCGCGACCGTCTCACTCTGGAAGTTATGGATGCTGAAAAGATGGGCAAAGACCGCAGTCTTGGTTTAGTAGAAATGTTTACTGGTGATTATGTTCACCAAGAGGAAACAGGCGAATACATGGTAAATGAGAAAAAGTCGATACGCAACGAGGGCCTGCGATTACACGGTAAAGGCATTGCCAAAGGAACGCTTACATACACCGCCGCCTTCTACCCCTGCCTCAACGTTGCAGATCCCGAGGAAGAAGAGGAGGGAGAGGAGGAGGGAGAGGCCGAAGTTACCCCAAAGACAGAGAAGGCCAACGGCAAAGCTGCTGGTGACAAATCTGAGGAAACTCCACGCGCTTCCGTTGATCGTTCCTCCAATGCTGGCAACGTCAGAGCTAGTGTGGACAAACCACAGGCAAACTTGGAGAAGGTCAATTCAAACGGAGGCAGTGACAAAGCAGACTCTGAAACTACAGACCGACGCTCTGTGGAGAGGCAAGGCCCGCCGAAGATCCGACTCAGCCCTGAAGAGCTCCTCAAGCATGAAAGTGGTCTCCTCATCTTCCGCATCCTGGAAGCCGAATTACCCGAAAGCCACAGCCGTCTTGAAGTATTCGTGGATGACATGGCTTATGCCTCTTACATTACTTCGACTGCCCCATCCAAGACTTATAAGTTCGATGAAATCGGTGACTGTGTCATCCGTGAACTTGACTTCTCCCGTCTCACTCTGAAAGCTCGCAAGAAAGGTGACGACAAGGACCAAACTTTGGCTCAACTCACTGGAAATACCATGGAGACGCTCAAGCAGTGCTTGGTAAGTGAAAGAAATGTGGAGGCTACATGATGACAGAATTTGAAGAAGTAAATAATTGAATGTGGTGCTAATTTTCCGTTATAGAACAACCCAACAATGCTCAAACTGCGAACCGATGACGGCAAGGGTGGATGGGTCAAAGTCAGTCTAAAGTATATTCCTATCAAGATGCAATTGAATCCGAGCGAAAGCATCAACAACATGGGCAATCTTCGCGTGGATGTTCTGGATGGTACAGGACTGCCATCTGCCGACCGAAACGGAAAGAGCGATCCATACTGCAAGTTTGAGCTCAACGGCGAGGAGGTCTACAAAACCAAGGTCATCAAGAAGACTCTCAATCCAACATGGAACGAGTACTTTGAGGTTGCCGTTCCTTCGCGAACCGCAGCCAAGTTCAATGTCGATGTGTACGATTATGATTTTGCCGACAAGCCCGACTTTTTGGGCGCGGCGGTAATTAACTTGGACTCTCTCGAGCCGTTCAAAGCCAGTGAGTCCAAATACATTCTGGACGGAAAGTCCGGTACCATTCGTCTGCGATTGCTCTTCCGCCCAGACTACATCACAAGAAGCATCCACGGAACTTCAACCTTTTCTGGTCTCGGAGCTCCTACTAGAATCGTTACGGGCGTTGCTGGAGCCCCCATCAAGGGAGGCGTCGCTGTGGCCGGCGTTGTCGGTCATGGTGTCGGCAAAGGTGCATCATTCTTGAAGCGCGGTCTTCTCGGCGGCAAGAAAGAAAAGGAAAATGGAGCCGTGCCAGAAAATCCTGAGATTCCGGTCATTGCTACCACACCCAGTGAGGGAGGTCCAGGAATGGAGCCTGGGCTGCGAAAAGCTACTGGGCTTTCTGAATCTCAAGATGCGGCGCAAACTATCAGCACGTCGCAGGCGAGTTCTCCCGGCCATGCCCGGACGAAGAGCATTGCTACTTCAATCCATAGTACTGTACCGGGCGGCGGCCCCAAAGGCACCGCTACTTTTACGATTGTGGGCGCTTCTGGTTACCCATTATCAACAGATCTTTTCATCCAGGTGTCAATGCTTTCACCAAAAGAGAAGGTCGTTGGCAAGACGAAGCACTTCAAGTCATCAAATGGAAAATGGAGCTTCGAGGAGACGTTCAAGGTCACTTGCGGTGCTGATGCCCAGTTCAAGGTTGAGGCCAAGGGAGATCACTTCATCGGAAGTAGTGATGAACTTGGAGAACATGTCTACTTTGTGGATGAAAGTGGATCCGGTCATGCAAAGGAGCTTACTGTTGGTGATGGTACAGTCACACTCAAGAGCAGCTTCCAACATGCTGAAACAGACGCGCCCGATACGCCAAAGTCCAACCTTCGACGTAGTTTCTTGAGCAAGCGAGAGTCTCGAACTAGCCGGGAAACGACACCTAACCCTTAGGTTGGGGCTGCCGTATTCTGGGTGTCTTTCTAAGCCTCTTTTCACATTGGTATTGATATGAATCTGCATATGCTATTCCGGATAGCATGATTTACGAAGCAGCTTCTCATAGTATTTTACGTGTGGTATCGTCTTATTTGCGGTGGCGAGCATCTCTTTAGTTCTGGTTTGTTTGTGGGAAATCCGTCCCTTTTCTTTTGTTTTTTGTTGTTGTTGTTTTGTTAGTTTTTTCTTCTTTTCTTTATTTCCTCTTCCTTTTAAACCTTCTCCGACCAATACGTCTGTAAGGGCTACGATTATCAAGTATTCGACGGTAAAAAGGCAAAAGAGGATGTTAGATTTCTGATTGTAACCATGGAAGGGAGGGAGGTAGGGAAGGAAAATCGTATTGTTAGGCTTGATATCCTAGTTGAATAGTCTTTGTGGAATGAATTCGATTATACTTACTGCGCTATCCCAAGTTCCCTACTGCACTCAATAAACCAGCCGACTAAACAGACCCAAAAAAAATTGTTTTCATTTCTTATTTTTTGTCCAAATAAGACCAAGCATTTGCGTGCCGTATTCATCGTCATCATCGCCATGGGTCTTGAGTGTCTAAGGCAACTTAGTATTAAATGGCCTGTCTGCCAGGCGATAAGGCACCAACTTTCCTACGGAGTAGTTCGGTCCGTATTATGTAATCGGTCATGCAGGTACCTCCGGTCCATGGTGCGCTCTGATTGGTTATCCGGTGGGTCCCGGAAGCTCTGCTGCTCTGCTGTTGGTGACGCGCGATACGGAAGCTGCCTGACTTGCCAACGTCGGACCTCCTCCATGCACCTTCAACACACGTCTCCATCCTGAAGCGGCCTGCACCATCAATCCACCACGACTCTATCCATCTTCCCACAACTACCAACCTCTGCCAGCTTTCTGGCTGTCAATTTTTACCTTAGCATCCCGGACTGTGGTCTTCCAACGAACCGAACCGGGCATCACAAAGCTCTTTTGCCGACTGAATCACCTTCCACCTTGTCTCTCTATCACTACGATGGATACTCTGGTATCTAGATACAGCCGGCCGGCATATGAGCAAAATGAGCCGTTCGAGAACGAGGCACAGGAGATGATGGATGCCACGTCGTCCCTGACTACCAAGTTTGCCATGCCTCCCATTTCTCAGGTTTGTTAAGCAACCCGAAAAAGAAGCGCCCGTCATCAAAATAGACGCTTTGTTTCCCAAGGAGAAACCACCGAGTCGGAAAAGCTAACATGCGCAATGCAGCCGTCATCTTGGCTCCGAGCCGCCACAGATGACCGATCAAATCCCGACTGTCCCATCAAGATTGCTCACGGCACGACAACGCTCGCCTTCCGTTTCCAGGGTGGCATCATCGTCGCTACTGACTCCCGCGCCACGGCCGGCAACTGGATTGCCTCGCAGACGGTCAAGAAGGTCATCGAGATCAACAGCGTCCTGCTGGGCACCATGGCCGGCGGTGCCGCCGACTGCCAGTACTGGCTGGCCTGGCTCGGCATGCAGTGCCGCCTCCACGAGCTCCGGCACAAACGCCGCATTAGCGTCGCAGCCGCCAGCAAGATCCTCGCCAACCTGGTCTACAGCTACAAGGGCATGGGACTCAGCATGGGCACCATGTGCGCTGGCGTGACCAAGGAGGAGGGCCCCGCGCTCTACTACGTCGACAGCGACGGCACCCGGCTCGCGGGGAACTTGTTCTGCGTTGGGTCCGGCCAGACATTTGCGTATGGTGTTCTGGACGCCGAGTACAACTATGACTTGAGCGTTGAGGATGCCCTGGAGCTGGGTAGGCGAAGCATCTTGGCGGCTACGCATCGCGATGCCTACTCTGGTGGTTTCATCAACTTGTACCATGTCAAGGAGGAAGGCTGGGTGAAGCACGGCTTCACGGATACAAACCCAGTGTTCTGGAAGACCAAGTTGGAGAAGGGAGAATTTAGCAACGTCACGAGCGAGTTGGACTAGATGAGTGTGAATGGCATGGTGGAGAAAGAGCGGGTGGACGGGTAGTGTTGCGGCTGTCCTTGCCAGCAATGTAACTTGTACAACAACAAGATAAACAAAGACTTACTTCATTGTGTTGACATGGTCTTGACACCGAATGCACATTGAACTTGTGTGTGTGTGTGTGTGTGTGTAGTGACGATCCACACTCTCATCATAAGTACATACTACAAAAACGTCTTCACGCGTTTGCTGGTCCTGTCTATCGTACATGCATGTAGGGTCCAACTCCCGTCTGCGCCTAGATCCCAGATATATGATACAAATAATACACAGTCTCGTTAAACCTGTCTCCCGTTTCCGTCATTACCACGCTCTCCCCTTCTTTATCCAACCCCCGACACCCAATATCCCATCTCCATCACCACCGTCCATCTCCATCGGCCACTTGCCCACCGGCAAGACACTCAAATCCGAACGCCACCCCCTCTCAAACATCTCCATCCCCGTCCACGCAATCATCGCCGCATTGTCCGTGCAGAACTTGACCGGCGGGGCTATGATTTCCGTGTCCGGATACCCCCTGATGCGGAGGGTTTCTTTCAACACATGCATTAGGAACTTGTTTGAAGCAACGCCGCCTGAGACGACGATTGTCCTTGCGGCCGGTCGGAGCTCGGGTCTGTCTTCGAGAGCGACAACCAGCCGTGAACACAGATGCTGGAAGGCAGCGCGCATGGTGTGCCTAGCCAAAGAGCGACGTTCGTCAAGAGGCATGCTGGGGTTGGAGGCGGCGATGCGATGGACCCGTGTGTGGATGCTGGAGAAGGAGTATGCGAGGCGGCGTGTGTTGCGGAAGGGGAGCGGGATATCCCAGGCGTATCCCGTAGGGAGGGTGTTGATTTCGTCGGAGCGGGACGCGGCCGGTTCGAAGAAGGAGTATTGCTCGTGGGACGGGCCGTTCGGGAAGGCGAAGGACTCGAGGAGCCGGCCGTACATGACGTCTGGGCTGGCATCGAGGACGTCGGCGGGGAGGATGACGCGGGCGGTCTGGTCGAGGAGGTTGCCGATGGCGATGTCCCCCGTCGTCGCGATGATGCGGTGCCCCGTCAGCCCTGTCGAGTGGACGAGCTGCGTGTGCCCGCCGGAAACGAGGAGCGACAGAAACGGGAATTCGGGGCCGGGACTGTCGCTGCATCTCCCCGCGTCGGTCTCCAACGCCCTCACGAGCCGGGGCGTCAGCGCATGAGCCTGCATGTGATGGACAGCCACGAGCGGCACGTCCCATCCGACTGCCAGGCCCTTGGCCATGTTCAATCCCACTGCTAGATTGGCCATTATCCCAGGCCCCCTCGTCACGGACACAAAGTCCGGCCGTTGCTTCATCAGGAGCGCTCCGTCGTTGGAGGGGATTCGGATGGATGGGGTGGAGGGCGAGGCATCGGGGAGGTACTGGAGCGCCCTCTGGACGAGCGGCGCGAGGGACGAGTTGTGGCCCTGGACGCTTATGACGGGGTGCACGCCCTTGAAGGCGCGATTATCGGAGGATATACGCTCGTTGAAAAGGAGCGTTGTGGAGGGCGGCGTATGGGAGAGGACGGCGACTGCGGTGTCGTCGCATGACGACTCGATGGCAAGGGTGAGCAGGGTTCGCTTCTGGAGGTGGCTTCTATTAGGGTGGTGCTCGCTGTGGCGTGGGAGAAGATACTGGAGAGAGCGACATCGTGGACGGAGGAGGAGGAGCATTGGTTGACGGCGAGTTGGAAAGGGTGGTTGTGGTGGTGGTAGTAGTTGAGAAGGTGTGAGGCTTGAGCTTTAAGAGGTCGACGAGGTGAAGCTCCCCCCACCTTTTCAAAGTGGCAGCTGTTCGGGCCGTGGTGGGGAGCTCGACTTGGTATCGACATCACATCTTCCTATTACTAGTGGCTGTGAAGACGTATAATTTTGTAATTTGTATTATCAACTGGTCCATTCTTTAACAAAAGAGACAGCTGTACGGATATGCGACTGATATTCGGAACGCAGTAGGTCCCTCCAATGCCCACTTTCCACCTCATCTTACAAAAACGCACGTCACGTGCCCGATCATAACAACGTCGTTCGTGTCATCATTTTCCAAGCCACTGATATTCAGCATTGATCAAAGTTACACCCAATTCACCCACTCGCACTTACATCCTCCGCTGCCTCCATCAAACCCTCCAAACTTGGCATCCCCAGTCCCCCTCTTATTAACCCATGTTCCTCCAATTCCCATGTCATTGACCAGCGCCTGCGCCTCCGTCGTCGTAACCTGCAGTCGATCGTCAATGGGTCGATCCCAGACGAGCTTCTTATCCGGATCTCCGCCATGCGTGTCCTGTGTAATAGTCACGGGGTACGGCATGGTCCCAGGCCGAACGAGTTCACCTGTTCCGCCGATTCCTTTGCTACCATCCGCTTTGAGCAACGAGGACGTATTGCTTGACAGTGCTCGCGTCCAAATCTGCACGTGAAGCCGCGTGTCGCCCCAGGTCACGAGATGAGAGGCTTCTGTCTTGCGGCATCCACCGTCCTCATCCAGCGGGATATTGTTGTCCGTGTTGTTCTGGATGTTGACGGATTTGAGAAAGATGGTGCGCTTGAAGTATGTATAGAAGCCGTAGTGTTCGGTGGGTAGGCCACGGTCAAAGAGACGGATAGGCTGCTGGACAGGGTTGGGAATCATGACAGCCGGGGCGGACGTGCCGTCCTTTTCCAAGTCTGGAGGCGGGATAAGATCTTTGAATGTGGTGTTGCCAATATTGGGACTGACTCCTCTGCGGGAAAGATTTGGTGTCGGGACCGTGTCGTTTGTCGACCTGAGAAGACTGATATAGAAGGGTGCTGGCTCGCCGCCTTTCTGGTCGGACTTGATGTTGTCAGTTGTCTCGCCGAGGAACCACATTTCTCTGAATTTGGGGGCCGCAGGATCGGGGAAGAACTCGGTTGGTACTGGATCACGCCTTAGGGCACTCAGCGCATGAGATGCTGCTCCGAATGCTCTTCGCGATAAAGGTGCAGGTGCATCTGCGTTTGCAACGTTCCATGACCGACGAGTTCCGTTGTCCCATTGGATTTGCATAATCAGCGTCGGCTGGTTTGCTTTATACGGCAAAACAGATGATTGTTGATCCTTGGGTAGAGAGCAGCTCCAGAGCGTAGATGGCTCTGTACAAACAGATCTGGCAGCGGTATTGTCCGGTCCAACCACAGTCAAGACGCCCGTAGGCATAGGCGGGAAGTCTGTCAAGTTGACCCAAATAGACGGTGTCTCCGCTGGGCTGTGGTTGCGTGTGAGCAGCACTGCCAACAAGATGATGAGAAGGATCAAGACAATGATGCCGGCCCAGATTGCCATCCACACCCGTCTTCTCTTGCGGCCTTCAGGACCCGTACGTCCAAAACAACCCCCTGACGACATGCAGCCACGTCCTCTCCAGAATCCACCAGCGCGGCGAGCAATGATGTCCTCTTTTTCATGTCGCCGCCGCTGCCGCTCAACTTTGTGTCTGCTGCCTGCGGCAGAGTATGCGTGTTCTTGAGGCACGAATGTCCCCACTGCTCGCACAGGAAGGGGCTGAGTAGTAATCGGCTGTGTTTGCGTCGTGGGCACAGCAGAAGCGTGGTTCGGGGCCCCTTTTTGCTGTCCTCTCTGAGAAGTCATTGTGCCTGCTAGTCCCGGAGAAGCCGGTCTCGGAGTAGGGGGAAATTGAGAATGGAGCGGGTGTCCAGGTGGGAAGACGGCTCGATATCTGATGGGCTTGCCTTCTTGTTCCCTCTTGGGCGGTGAGTAAGGTGGTGGAATATCTGATGGGCTGGGGCTGTCGCGACTAATGACAATTTGCGGTGTCTGTCTCATGCTCGGCTCTGCAGCAGACGTTTGTGTCTTTGTGAAGAGACTTTGAGGGTTCTTGCCATGTTTTGTATCATACTGTGGTGCTGGTGCTCGAACAATCGGTGCTTGTACTCGTGCCGGAGCAACGTTTGGAGATAGCCTTGATCGAGACTCTTCCTTGACATCGAGATTTTCCCATAACTCATCCCTGGACATTCCTTTGTGGAACTTGGGTGATTTGGGTGACTTTGGAGACTCAGCCTTGTACTTTTGACTTGAAAAGGACATTTTCTTGTCAACAAAGGGTGTAACGACATGATCCCACCAACCATGTGATCTTGAAGCAGCACTATCAGGGCTTCTATCAAATTCCCTGGACTTGGGGTGTCTCTGTGGGCTTGGAACACCATCTTCTTCGAAGAGAGTGCATGGCGTGCCACTTTCATCATCACCTTGTCGACTTTTCCCCAGCTCAAGGCTCAAAACCCTTTGGTGCGCGGCCTTCTTGTAATTCGGGGGAAGTTCCGGAACGGGGGGGCAGGCCTGTTCTTTGGGGATCTGATTTGGCATGATGAATTGCGAGTACACGCTAGATGCCACATTATTTGATCCAAACGAGTATGAAGTATCTGGCGTATCAGGAGACCAGACGGATTTGTGTCCCTGCACATCAGCCTTGGCCGCCTTGGGGGCATGAGGATTGCTCAACTCGGGCACGGGAAACGGAGATCTCGAGTCGTCGACCGGCGGATTTTGCGGGCTAATCTCCCGCCCTTCTACATCAGACGATTCCAGCGAAATTCCAATTACAATGGGCCTGTCCTCCGGTGACAACTGTTGGTCCTTATTTCGGCCTTTCCGCATTTCTGTCGCCGGCTCAGGAGTCTTCCCACTTCCCTTCTTCAACCAGTTCCAGTTCCCGACTGATGCTGAACTAGGTTCCCCTTCCAGGGCTCTCAGAGCATCGGCGTCGACAAACTTTCCTTTCCGGCCTGGTGGACTGCGCATGTTGTTCGTGACATGATTATTGCGACGGAAAACCGACATGTCAGTGATGAGACGGATGCCAGCTTTGGCATTTTGAGCCTTTTGCCTTTGGCGTGATCTGATTCTTCGCACTTTGGGCGTTGATAGCCTAGACGCTCTCAGATTCACGGATTTTGTATTCCTGCTTGGGAGTGGTGCCGGTGCGCTGGTAGGCGGGCAGATGTGAACCTGTTCTGTTGCGTCTATCGGGGTGATGACATCGTCATCTTCCCACTCTTCCACTGCTTTTGGGGTGTTTGTGGGAGCCAGTGGTCCATTGTGGTATTCAGGTGGTGGATTCATGACGTTTTTCTATGTTTGCATTTAGACTGGACGGTCGACAAAGGCTGTTGCGTCGTGAAGGGAAACCTCAAAGACAACTGGACGTCACGCGGAAATGAGTTGTGATTAGACTGCACGTCGAGCAGATGGTGTGGTGCGCAAACGCTGGTCAACAAAGTAACCGGACGATTCTCTCAACTTTCAGATACCGCCGCAAGAATCAAGGACATGAACTAATGATGGGTAGTTAACTCGACGGAGGGCAAAACGAAAACTAAAAAATGTAAAATCGAGAAGGAGAGGGTGGTTGAGAAAATGAGAGACAAAGACAATAGCGAAAGACCATCAAAGCCAACGGCTCGAAACAAAGGCGAAACAATACCTAGGCACGAAATTTGAATAGGCAGGGAGCAATAGAAGTACGACTGTAGATGGGAGAAGAATAAATCACGCGACAATAGGACCACGACGAACTAGGCACTGTCGCAGGCCAACCTCGGCGGCCGCATCAGAGTGGCCAGAAACACGGCGCAATGTGGTTCATTTTGTTATTCTGCACTGTTTCCAGGTTTCACCGCTGTATGCTAAATAAAGCGAGGGCTCCATTATGGCACATCTGCTCCCGCGTCGACGTCGGCGTCTAAGTGTCGTCGTCTCATGGATTTCGATGGTTGGAGGTTGAGAATGAGATGCTAGTCTGATGACGGCGCTTGTTTTGGGCAACATTGTGATTCAATTGGTTGCCGCTACGCGCCGTGGTAACGGGGATTTTTGATTGGTTGCATGTCGCAGGGGTGTGTCTGGTGGTAGGTACTCGTAGCCTCGTCTCGTCTGGTGGTTCTCCAACTTGTGTGCTCCGTGTGAATACTGCAAGCTGTGCTACCCTGGGCTAGCAACATGTTGACGATCAGTGGTTCATAATGCCCCCGTGTGCAGCCTTCCGTCGCGTCTGGTGCTATTTTTATTTGCCTTTTTTTTCCCAAGTACTACTACTAGTACTTTCGAGGTTTGATACAGGCTCCTTCGCTCGTTCGACCCAATCTTCCAACCAGGCTGCTTTATCTTCTCAATACATGTTGCGATCAGGCAGGTTGGTTCAAGGAAGAAAACGAACATCAAACGGACGAAGCTACCATCCGATCCAATCAGCCGAAGGCAGAACTCACAGGCAGCCGGGGGAAACAAAACTGCACAATCACCCAATATATACAGAAAGCTTCTGGTTAATGTACAATCGGGACGCCAGAGCAGAGCACGCCATGGGAGCAACCTCTTTGCCATTGACTGAAACCCACTACACTGGGGGCAAATTTGGCATTTGCGGGACGCGGATCCTACATCCTTGCAAGCCCTGACTGTGAAGTTCAATATTGGTCTTCATGGCCAAGCCAGGTAATCAACACAGCGCGCTCCGGCTCATGGCTCATCGGAAAGAATATGCTCCCGAGCAGATCTAGCGACATGAACCATGAACGATCCAACAGCTACGCTGGGGAAGCAGTGCAGCGGTTTGCTATGATAGATTTTACCAGTTCTCCATTGACCAAGAGCAGATGCTGAGATCCCTAATATTTACATTGTATTGTAGTAGTATTACTTCTACTCCAGTGGCCTGCCGGAGATGTGCAGATTCGCCAAGAAGTCCATAAAAGCTGTGGGCATTACTCCGTATTAGCCAACTGCTTTTATCCCCTGCAATAACGGGACCAGTGGTCTTTTAGTCTTGGCAGATGCCTTGTAGCCACTGGGAATGGCCGCAGTGCCCACGATAGCTGGAATTGGCTATCCACAACCTGCTTGGTCCTTTTACGTCCGAACGAATGGACTCGGCATGTTATCGAGGCTCTCGCTCAAGTGATAAAGTGACACCATCCCCTGGTGGCGTGGCCGTTGCGTCGATTCCCCCCTTTCTCTTTTTCTGTTCTGCCGTCAGAGCTGGGCGCGCACTGGCCATAATGGTGCGGAGTACTAAGCACACGGGCTAGGGGGTTGTTGTGCTAAGGTGCATCCGATTTGGGGCCGAATACTACGTCGGGCAGAGCAATGAAAAATGCAGGGTGCTGATGACGATGGTGTATGTTTGTATGTATGTGCGCAACTGCGACTGCACAAGCACAAAGCCGTAATAGCATCAAGACATAACAAGGCGGCAGAAGATGTAACGTCGGAGGAGCAAGGCGAGAAGGCAAGCAGAGAGACCAGAGAGCACTAGCAGGTACCGGTAGGTAGTAGCAACTATTCAATGTTGGCAACACCTGCCGCGCTTTGCGAAAGGTCAACTGGTCTTCCCTGCCGATACTTTTGCTCCAGCCACCACATGCAGCCATTGACCTTTGCGAAAGCTGGTCGATGATTGGCGGCTGAGCCAAGATTGGCCCAAGGTACGGGGCACCTAACATGCCAGAACTTTGCGACAACGAAGGAAAACGCCAAAAAAGTCAAATTCACCCTCGTGTCGAGATCTCGGCCTTGCGGCCCCTGAGAAGAGCACAAGCACAGCAAAGCGCCAGAATCAAAGTTGACCAGCCTTTGCACGAGTTGGCGGCAGGCTGCCTCGAGTGCTCGCTCTCGGACCAGCTTGTTGTTTGTGCCTTGTACTTGTAGTCGGGAGGACTGTTGTATATGCGTTCAGGAGGACTCTTCAGGAGTCACTACTGATGACCTTCCTCTAAGTACTGAAGTAGGTACGGCGCACTACTTTGGAGGCAACTATTACTCCGTTATCTGATAAAATATTACGGAGCACGCCAATGACGCCCCCCCGCCGCAATCCCTGCCCGGGCGCCCAGCAAATTCTTTTGCGTCGCGCGCAAACACCTTGAGTTCATATGTTTTGGCCCGCTTGGGGGCGGTCATCAAGATTGCGTGCGACTGGCGACCAGACTTCTTCATCTCTGCTGGTGGCCCCGGTGGCACAATACCAGTAGTAGGGAGTAAGTACTCCGTACGTACTTGCCTAGTTCTTAGTAGTAATAATGAGAAGAATAAGTTACTCCGTAAAGGATAAGGAGACATGGAACTAGTACTCCGTACTCCAGTACAGAGCGCAAGACCACAGAGATGGGATGGTCTCACTTGCTGTGCGAGGACCGAGTACTGAGTACCTGCGTGCCTCCCTGCCGCATGCCATAAAAGCAGGTACGTGGGTACTTGCCGCCCTGGCTTGTTTGCCTGTTTCGCGGCCCATTTCCCGTGCCGGTGCGCTCAAGTGCTCGTCCAAACTCGCCAACAAAAAAATCCAAGCTCAGGGTAACGCTTCAGTCACGGCTGCAGAAAGTCGCAGATACGAGACTGAGAGTTCTGCAGCGCCCTTTCAACCTTTCGCCTGCGAACCGCCAAATCCGCGCGTCCAAAGAGCCCGTTTGCCATGCCATTGCGGTGCTAGCACCTGCAATCCAAGCCACCTTTCAGCCAAGCCTCATCTCACTCGAGTCTCGCGTCAACCAGCATTACCCCCGTCGTCCGTCGTAACGAAAAGCTAGAACAACACTTCTTGTGCTACCTTGCCTTGATTAGCTACCCACCCTCTGCAGCATCGCCGAATCAAATAAATAAAAAGAAAACTCTCCCGGATTCTGGCAAGGAACGGGTTGTCATCCGGCACCACTCTTTGGGTTCGTGCCAAGATCAACTGGTTAGTGGCCTCGTGGTCTGCGCGCCTCATCGCCAACACTTCTTGTCTTCTCTCTCTCTCCTTACTTCCCCCTTTGCGAGCGAGTTGATATTACTTTCCGTCTCAAAGCGATATTGACGGTACGCAGTACTCCCTTTGGGGACAAGGGGCACAGAAGCCACGGTGGCTGCTCATGCGTCGCGCGATTCAATTCCCACGAAACCAGAGTTGCGCGTCCCCGATTCAATTTATTTGAGGCATCGCGCTCCACTCACTGCCTTCATCCCAGCTGGCGGCCTTGCGGATGACTGATCACACCTAGCAAGCCTCATACTCGACAGCGACGGTCAAACATTCAAACTGGCTTCTCCAAAGTTGACCGCCGGCTCCTCGAGCTCCGTCAACGACCGGCCTGTGCCGTCCCACCATCGACGACGCTCCTCGGCTGGAACACATACCCTCAGTGAGCAGAAATCCAGCAATTTTCTTGAGATCCGCCCTGCGCTGGCAAACAAGGCCTCTCTCTCGCCTATCCTTGGTACGTCCTAGCCATATTGTGCTGTCTGGTGGTTCATCACTTCATCCCTGTGGCACCACGATCCTGCAGGTTACATGCCGAGTCATACGCGATTGCACAACTCGCTCCATCGTCAGACAAACTAATGCCTCATGTCGTGCTTAGGTACACCCGCTACTCCAATGTCCTTGTCGCGTAGCCCATCACCCGTCCCCGGTGGTGGTTGGTCGAGCCCTGGTCTGAATATCAACAGTGGCAGGTCAAGTCCAGCCAATGCTCCCACTTCCGGCCCGGTACATTGGGAATCTGCAAAAATGAGACATCTCGGTGCCAACGGCTACCCGTCCTTTGCAACAAATAATTCGGGCTTCTTTGCTCGCCACTTGCGACGAATTTCGAGCAACCTTCCGCGGTACAACTCGAATAATACAATTCCACGATATGGCGACAAGGACAAGCCTTTCCGTGGTCAGAATATACCATTGATTGGAAGAATACGATCAATCTCTGGCCGCATGGGTCGAAAGCTGAAGATCAGACTTCTTATTGTTCTTGTTTTGCTACTTTGCTTGTACATCTTCTACCATTCTCGTAAGTGCTCCGTACCCTCGCCGTTTGGAACGCGACCAAAGTTTGAGTCGAACGATTTCTGACACCAGACTTGGGTAGCTCTTGTCTACTGGTATCGAAGAGCAAGTTGGGGTGGAGGCGGCTCAAAATTCGTCATCATCCTTGCAGCGAACGTGGGAGGAGGTGTCATGGAATGGAAAGGTGCCCGAGAGTGGGCAATCGAGCGGGACAGCGTACGAAATAAGCGAAAATACGCTACAAGATGGGGCTATGACCTCGAAATCGTCGACATGAAGACTAGAAAGAAGTATGCCCACGAATGGCGAGAGAGCTGGGAAAAAGTTGACTACGTCCGAAGTGCTATGAGAAAATACCCCAATGCCGAATGGTACGTTGCCAGTCTTTTTTTCATGATGGGCATCAATCGCAAGAAAAGTATTACTAACAACGCTGTAGGTTCTGGTGGCTTGATCTCAACACATATGTAATGGAACCCTCGTACTCCTTACAGGATCACCTGTTCGATAATCTCCAAAACCACGTGTACCGCGATATCAACGAATACAACCCGCTTAATATCACCCATCCTCTCACCTACCCGTACCTTGACAAATTCGCATCGAGCCCAGTGGGGGACGGCAACGTCAACTCTGTGAACCTGCTTCTGTCTCAGGACTGCTCTGGCTTCAACCTGGGATCGTTCTTCGTGCGTCGCAGCGCCTGGACCGAACGCCTCTTGGATATCTGGTGGGATCCAGTGGCCTACGAGCAGAAGCACATGGCTTGGGAGCACAAGGAGCAAGACGCTTTAGAGACCCTCTACGAGAATCATGCTTGGGTGCGAGAGCACACTGGCTTTTTGCCTCAACGAAAAATCAACAGCTTCCCCCCGGCCGCATGTGGCGACGGCTCTGGAAAGAATAACACTCGTTTCCATTATAATCAGTACGAGCGTGACTTTGTTGTCAACATGGCTGGTTGCGAATGGGGCCGAGACTGTTGGGGCGAAATGTACCACTATCGAGAGTTCAGCTACTGGCTCAACAGAAACCCCTGGGAACGTTTCAAGGAAGACTTTATTGCTCTTATCTGGTGGAAGCTGACGGGCAAGTGGGTGAAGCTCTGATTGTGGCTAAGCTGTCACTCGCCAAAACTTTTCCCAGTTATCACCTGCTGGGGTGGTGACAAAAACCCCGTCATGACACAAGGAGGTGGCAGCAGCAGCCTTGCCGCAGGCTCACGAAACTTGTCATGCGATTTTCTCACATTGAGATGATCACAGCGTTTATACATTGGAGGCGGGGGCGCGGAGCTTACCAGCCCAATGAAGATTGGATAGATTTCCCCGGCCTAGCGAATTGCGACTGTTGGAATTACCCTTCACTGTGACATATTAATACCCATTCTCTTCTCGATTGGATGTTTCGAAAGGAGTTACAACGGGAGAGCGAAGAGAATTCTGCCTGGGGTAGGCCAGGTTCAGATGAGACCACGAAAGCAGCTGACGGCCGGTCCATGCGACATGCGGCCCAAGAATGAGCACCAGGACATGCACGACAGCCTTGTTACACGACGTTGGGTTACCTTGGATGGTACATGACGATACATATGCATTTGGTTTGGTGCATATGCTCAATGAATCGTCACGACGACCGAGAGGCGTTTTTTGGAGGCGAAAAGAGAAGATACGGATGCATTTATTTATTATTATTATTATATCATTTTTTCCTTCACGTGGACGGACGAAGATTTTCGGTGTTCAGGGAGCACGAGGCACGGCGGAGGCTAAAGAGGGAGGAAAGGAATTTGTTGGTTCCGTCTTTTATCTTTCTTGTTCTATTGTGCAACACACAACTTACCAACCCGATGCATGAGGGCCTGTCAGACGGCCCTCACAGGCGTTGTCACATTTTTCACATTCAAAGGATTTCTTCTTCTTGAGCATGATATTGATGCTCGCGGTATTTTGATACCTTATTTTGTGTATTTTTCTTCCTGTACTCGTATAATTTAGGTATGGCTTATTTTCACAATAGACGGCATTGCGTCTCACCAACTCGCTCTAGGAGAATTCCGGACAGATGGTTGCGGGAGGGAGCTGGCGTCGAGGACGACCAGAAGATGACGTTTGGCACTGGGCGGCAGGGACATGTGCGACTTGGCCTGTCAGGCAGGATTATTATGACGACCAGGCTGGTGGTCGGCGCTCATCCGTGACTTTTACCGCCAAGCTTGATTGACATGATCTGGTCCTTGGTACTCCGTAGAAAGGAAATGACTTGGGGAGGTAAGGATGAACCTTGTTTGAGATTGCCGGGACGGGAGGGGATGCCGAGACGATTGGATCGGAGGAGCGGGGGTTGAGACGAAATGTCCGTACAAGGGACTACTATATCATTGTGTTGATGCGTTTGAGAGGGACCACGAGTAGTTGCAGGAACAGTGAATCGGCAGCGTAGTCAAGTCGGAGAAGGTGAGAGGCGATTGGTGTACAAGAGCGACAACCAGACGACACAGGTTATAGTGTAGGGTTGTTCATCTACGGTCTGTTGATGATGAGTGGAAGGAAGAAGGATGGGTTTCGAGAGGCTTGTGAAGCTTTCTTTGCGGATGGCCTTTAATAATTCCCCGTTTGCAAATACAGACATTGGCGGGATATGACTGAATAGGAAGGCTGATCCGGGAGCGGCATCTTATTTAGGAACTCTGGCTGAAACAGGAGACGTGTCCTTGGGCAATATACTCGGCCATTGATCAGCCTGATCGACGTGACAAATGTACATACAGTCAGAGGCAAGAGGTATTTGCTTGCCTGATGGCGTAGAGTGATAGTGATCTAGGGGTGTGCAGACACTCACCGCCTCCCTCCCACTGTACTGCAGCACGCAAGGGCCGGTCAGCATCAAATATTTTGGCACCGGGCAGTGCGCCAGACGACAAGGTGCGTAGGGGATCCGGATCCGCAGAGACTGAGGGACACCAGACAGTTGTTGGATGATTGATGTCGAGAAAAACCCGGCGGTTTGTCTGCTCTGGAGTTGGTTCCACCTTCTGACTCCGTTGGCTGTTTCAGTGTCGATGTCGCTCCGAGGAATCAAGGACGGCGAGTCGCTTGTGGTTATGTGACTGAAATTAAAAGTTGGAATATGGAGTGCGAATATAGTGGATTGCGGGATTTTTGTTTTTATTACTATTATTAATTCTTAGCTTACAAGAGAGAGAGAGAAGAGAAGGGAGGGAATTGATACCATGCAAGCAGGGCAACTTCCTTTGTTCTGGTGTTGTGGCTGATGTGGCACGGAGATCACGGAGATTTTAGTCATTATCGGAGCCTCAGGGCCCCAGAACGGAACTCCGGCCACGCAAAAGGAGAGACGGTGAAACAGTTGCTGACCAACACAACAGTACATACATACATAAATACAGGTGCATCTAAGGAGGCGCTGTAAAACGTAAATAGAGCATCGGACACGTCTGTGTGTTCTTCGTAGGAAGAACACGAAGTGCCCTGCTCGAGGAACATTACCTGCAATTGGCCAAATCGTGGTAAGTGGGTCGTTATCTTGGACCTGCAAGCTATTATCAGAAAATGCTGAGCTGCAGCTGGAGGAGGAAGAAGACGTAGTCTTCCGTAGGTGCTATTAAAAAATGGCTGGCTTCTCAAGTTCTCACCCATGGTGCTTATTTGCATAGGATCGTCGTGATTTGGGCCCGGAAAATGTGACAAAGGTTTGCAAACTAGAAAGGGAGCAAGGCGGAGCAAGACATGGGTTTCTCACTCGCATTAAACGTGGTAAATTGATGGTTGATGGATATGTCGGCGGCGCAAACAGTCCATGGCTAGCGAGTATGTACTCCGTAACTTATTCCATATACCGCATCTCAGCGCGGAGGACATGTCGCACAATGATGGTGCACGGTGTGCCAACATGACGCATCGATTCGCTTGTCGAGTCAAGGTAATACACTCCGTAGAAAGGGAGTTCTGTAAATCAAGGTGGTTATCAGATCCCTAGTGTTTTGTGTGTCTAGCAATGTTTCAACAGAAGAGGCTCTTGAAGCCTGGGAATCGATAACGTGGTGTTCGACACAGACGTCAAACACTGTGGGAGAACTTAGTTCTCTGGCGAGATCAGGGTCGGATAGCCGGCAGGTGTCGAATATTTCCAACTGTTTCGCCAAGCAATGTCAGTGCTTGTCAAACAGCCAGAGTGTATCGAGTAGGCATGCTCTTGTTCCTGCATGGCTAGTCGAGTTGTGGGTGTCATGGCCAAGTTCGGATGACGACGGATGGGGCAAGGCGGCAAACATTCTACGGCGTACGAACGTGTCCGTTCACTGTGCAGTCAAACTGCCTTGTTTCAATCTTCAATGTCCCTCTTGGCCTCAGCGTTTCATCGGGGGGGGGGGGGGGGGGGGGGGGGGACGCGTATGTATTTGTTGTTTGCCGTGAATATGGCTCCATAGCGTGCTGTTGTCGACTTCTTAGATGTGAAGAGGCGCCAAGGGTTTGATGGAACGGGGGAAATTCGCGCAATGCCTCATTGAAGAGGTCGCCCGTTTGTGCGTCGGGATGTCTTGCGCTGTGAACTGTGAACACACAGTCTTGTCTGTCAATCGACCAGCACCACAAATCGCGCGCCAAGCCCAAAGGTACAATGGACGAACCAGACGGTGAAAGCAGCATCGTAGCCGCCTGACCGCACAAGACGGTGCCCACTGCCCAGTGTGTGTAGGAAAGGAAGGTACAGGGAGCACACAGCGGACGAACACTGACAGCCACTGGGGGTCGCCCCGCCCCACCTCAGCGCCAGTGGCAGGCAGGGGCAGGGGCTTTGCCAGCAGTCTTGCCCCTTCTGCCTCTTGGCGTTGCCATTCACGGGCTTTGATTGGCCTCTTCGGCCCAGGACCAGAGTCTCAGATTCACCAGCCTCCGCAATCTAGCTCTCCCGCCTCGCTCTTGTTGGCTCTTGGACAATCACGACTGCAACACCGTGGGAAACATGTCGCTACTAAGAGTGGGCCGCGAAAGCAACAGAGCAATATCTCCCATCCTTTTCTCTTCTATTCTACCGACAATGTACATCCAGATCTGGGAAACGCCAGAAACGGACGAGGGCTTGACCACAGGGGCACAGGGGGGGCTCGGGAGGGGGAAAAGGATCTTCAGACTAGTACTCTGTACTCCGTACTGGCTGGGTTGTGACCAAGACCCAACAGACGCAGCCAGAGAAACAATGAACCATATTTAGATATCTGGATTTCCGTCCGACGTCCAACATGTTTCTGTTCGTCACTCGTCACCACCTTTCTTCTTGTCGTCTTTTTGTGCAGGCACTGCCCCAGGCTTTCGGTTCCGTTGACGGTTCCAGCATCCTTTGTTCCCTGCCGTTCAATCTTTCCGGCAGCTGGTCACCATTGTATTGTGTTTCTCGTCTTAGATTCATTCATCTTCCTCTTTTGGACTACCAGCCTCTCTATTGAATAGAGAAAGACGTCATTTATCTTCAATTGTCCGTCCACCTTCCAGTCGTTGGTTGCCATTGTTCCGCCTCCCAACATCTGATTCCCCTCCTTTGGACTCTGTTCAGTTCCTGATCAACTTGATCCTTTATATTGAGGGCGTCATTCCTCTGTCGCCCTCTCTTTTACATACACTGTGCCCGCCTATTGTTCAGTCTCAAAGACTTGCAAGGAAAACCAGAGTGATCTCACTGGGAGACTTGCACATTGCTTCATAGTCTTCATTCTCCAGGATTTCTTGGTAGCTGCCACTGCAAGTGCGATACAGCTTTTCTCTCTCTTGTCTCGCTCACATCCAAGCCATTTGGAAACAAGGCTCTGGTCTCGGGTTCATTACGTTCTCTAGCACGGCAGAGAAACTCGAAGACATTTTCATCTCTCACATCACTTTGCGCTGGGAGTAGTCTCGCAAGTTGCTCGCCTCTACTATTTCACCACTTGCGTTGACGCTGTCGTGCCGGCTCACACAGCAAAATCGCCTTCAAAAACCACATATATATTTTTACCAAACCTTGACGGCAATCCTAACTTCAATCACCATGCGCTATTCAGGTCGCTTCGCTGCCCTCGCTGGCACTGTGCTTTTTTCGGCAGGCATCGCTCATGCGGGTTACCTACTTGACACTACTTACGATAGTACCAACTTTTTCAACAGCTTCGACTTCTTTACACTGCCAGATCCTACAGGGGGTTTCGTTCAATATGTTGATGGACAGACTGCCAACCAGGAAGGCCTTGCCGTTTACGCCAAAGGGGGGATATATATGGGCGTCGACTCCAAGACCAAGAACCCTCCCAATGGTCGCAAGTCAGTTCGTGTGTCCTCCAAAAAGTCATTCACTCGTGGTCTGTTCATTGCCGACATAGCCCACATGCCTGGTAGCATTTGTGGCACATGGCCAGCTTTCTGGCTGCTCGGTCCCGGCTGGCCATCTTCTGGCGAGATTGACATACTTGAGGGTGTCAATGCCCAAACCAAGAATTCCATTACTCTTCACACAGCGAACGGCTGCACTATGTCTAACCAGGGCGCTCTCCCCTCTACCCAGTTTTCCTCTGCGGACTGTGGTGCCCTTGGTGCTTCAAAAGGCTGCCAACAGGCGACCGTCGATGCTTCAAATTATGGCGACGGCTTCAACGCCATTGGAGGTGGTGTTTATGCTACTGAATGGACTTCGGATCACATTGCAGTCTGGTTCTTCCCTCGGTCAAACATTCCCCAGGACATTACTTCCCAGAACCCCAACCCCGCCAGCTGGGGAGCGCCGACTGCTCGATTCGTGGGAGGAAATACTTGCAACATCAACAATTTCTTCAAGGACCACCAGATTATCTTTGACACCACCTTTTGTGGTCAATGGGCTGGAGACGTCTGGAAAAATGATGCTAAGTGTAGTACTCTGGCCCCTACTTGCCAGGAGTATGTTTCTGGCAACCCTGAGCAGTTTGCGAATGCCTTTTGGGTCGTCAACTCCGTTAAAGTCTACCAACAAGGAGGCAGTCCAGGTCCAGTCCAGCACTTTGCGGCTGTAAATCCATCTTCAGGCTCAGTTGGGCCTCAAGATCAAAACCATCCTCAACCGCAAACCCAGGTCCAGCCTCAGTCGACTCAGCCAGCTACTCAACCTCAGCCCACGAATGGGCAAGTATGGAATGGTCAGCCACAACCCAATTCTGATACCAACTCTCAACCGCCTCCACCAAAACAGGACAACTCATGGAATGGCCAAGTTTGGAACGGTGGTGGCTGGAATTCCAAGAGACGAAATAGGGCCGTTGAGAAACGGTTTTCTGCTTAGGCAGAAGCAGAAGTTGTGCTACTGCAAAGAGGGAAATCAAGCATGCAAGCAAGAGCGGTTCAAACAAAGATACCCAGGGCGGGTTCCCATTGAAAAGACAGGACATGCTAGGCATGATGATACTGCTTGCATTATGATGACGGACGCATCGATTGACGTTTTTTTTTTTCTGGATTTCTTCTTCTTCTACTTGATATTGCATTCGTGTTCGATATATTTCACCATTTAGGCAAGAGCCGCCGGAATGCATTTTTTCACTGTATATACAAACTTTAACTACGAGTTGCAACTGTATGAAACAAAGATTCGACTATGAAGCCTTTGACGGTTTGACCCTCCTGCCCCAGTGCATGTGTGAACAAGGGCTATCTATGTTGGCTCTTGCGTGAAGAACAGCATGAACACCTTGCATTGTCTTCTTCACCTTTGTTAGACCAGTGACAACAGCCAGGGTCCTCCTCTCCGCCTTCACTCTGCGACGAAGAGCAGGTGCCTGGCATGGTCTGAGCGGCAGGGGTGTTCTCTATCGTGTATAATGTCAAGTATAATGATTGGTGAGAACACGGCTTACGTATGTACTTGTACTACGGAGTACTAGTATCTAAAATGCTGTCTGGTCGGATGCGTTGAAAGAAACAATTGAAATGGCCGCACCTAGACAGACTCGACTTGGTCATGCCCCCTGAGCCTGTCTAGGCGCGGCCTCATAGAGTTTTCATGGTTCCATTTGATTCCGAAAATTATCCCCACATGACTCGAAGCTCGAGGCAGCGAGCTCTGGTGAGTTCGACATGACGCTGAAGCAGCAGAGCCAGGTCTAGAAGCGGCCAGCTGAGCTAGGCCCAGCCACAGGCAGATTATCAAGAAATTGCGCGTCGCATCGTGCACGCCTACCAATGGCGCTCATTTGGAGAGCGTATTTGGGTCGTCGGGCCGTCGGGCCACGACTCAGCCTCCAGCTTCCAGCCAGCTTCTGATTGCTTGACTCTCAACTCCATCAATCGCGCACCCAATTGAGCCACAAACACCTCAATGACACGGGAGGAATATACATGACGACATACGTCTTCTCTCTTTCTCTAAGAAAAAAATAGTCCAGTTCAACAGTGCCCACCATGTCTGCAATCGGCCTCGACTTCACCAAGAACCTCTCCTACTTCACCGTGAGCCCACGACCCTCGCCTATGCCTCGTGTTCAACCAACTCATCATCAACCCCTGACCTAGATCCCCGCCGTCTTCATCGCAACCTGCCTCGGCCCTCACACCTTGGCCGTCGCCTGCTCCGGCAAGACGTACGACAACGCAAACCCGCGAGCGTTGCGCGACGCCGTCTGCAAGAACGAAGCCATCGACAAGCCCGTAAGCCTTGCAAGCCACCTGTACTTTTCCTGCCCACGTCCAAAAAAATAAATTAACAGTTTCTCTCTTCCTCCAGCGCCAGCAGATGATCCTCCGCGCAAAGGGCGCCTCCGAGAACGGCTTCGAATCGCTGGGCCTCTTCGCGGGCGGTGTCATCGCCGCCAACCAGGCCGGGCTTCACCCGTGCGTCCTCAACACCCTGAGCATCGGCTATCTCGCCGCCCGGCTCGCCTATGTGTTTTGCTACGTCAAGCTCGGCGCGAACAGGAAGCTGGCCGGGCTGCGCAGCCTGGCGTGGATGGTCAGCGTGACGCTGTGCCTGACCATGTGGGTGAAGGCTGGGATCAAGGCGATGCAGTGATAATTCTTGGGCGCGACAATTAGTGCATCCAGGCCACGCCTGTGCCTCTATACGGCGTCGTCTTGTTGTTGTTGTTGTTGTCGTCGTCGTTGCTTCTGACTTGACGACTGCTGCTCTTGCCGTTTTTCCCCCCTCATGACCATGTTCAACTAATAGACAAGTACCTAGCTCCATTAGATGTATGATCCATAGACCCTTCAGGGGGAAAATGTCATATACTCCCGTGCCTTCCTCTTGAATCCTCAAATCTGATCCCCGGGTGGGAAGACGTGAACCCTCCAGTTTTCCTCCTACCTTGCCTCGCTGCTCCTCAAACCATACGCTGTCATAGTATATACATATCTGACATGGTTAGAATGCTTTCCCACAAGCCCATCATCCTCTTCGCCCTCCTTTGCGCCGCGGGCTCCCTCCCCAGGGACAAAATTCCTCGCCCAACGCCCACAGTCACCCATCGCCGACACCCTATCACGGCATCTAGATTGCAGGCTACTCGCGTCCCGGGCCCTCTGCCAACCGAGTCCGAGGTCCGGGGTGACGTCTCCTCGCGTTGCAGGCCAGACTGTCAGCACACCTACTGCGATGAACATGAGGCAATGTGGTGCTACGTGTGGGGTGGTGTATCGGCATACGATCTTTCGCTCGGCATCATTCCTGGCGAGACGAGGGTGTATCTCGGGACTTGTGATGGTAAACCAAAGACTGTGGCCCCGAAATGCTGTGGGGGAAACTGTGGACACGATTAATGTGACGGGTAAAAATCGTCGTCCTGTTGCTTGGCCTTCTTCCGTTGGTATTTGGAAACTGAGTTTCTGGGGAAAGGGGCTTGCTGTTTGAGTGCTGATATAGGAATTTTGGGCTTGCGAATAACTTTTACAAAAGGGACTTGACTAGCCAGAAATTGTGAATCTTGTCTGCTGACAATGAGTATTATTAAAAAAGATCAAATTCAATGCAGTTTGTTTATCCAAGAATATGGGATGTGGACATACAAATCTGACCAGCCCAGGAAAAATTGCATCATCCCATACGCCTGGATCACACATCACCTTCCCCTGATGCATATATGCCTTGAGAGCATCCTCTATTGCGGGCTAGTTCCCCGCGTCCTCGTCAGCGAGTAAAGCACCTCGGGCCTCGTCGTGAACAGCCTCCTCCGTCGTATCCACGTCGTCTTTAATTCTAACAGCAAAGATGCAAGACCCAAGGACAAATATACCCCCAAGTGCCATGACAATGGCAAAACTGTGATCACCGGGTGTACCCCGCGGCTTCTGCAGAAACTTGAACACTATACTCGATCCCACAGTGGCGACGACTTGGGGAACTGCAATGGCCATATTGTGAATGCCCAGGATCACACCGGCTTGGTCCACTTCTTCTTCTTCTTCTTCTTCTTCTTCATTACCCAATTCAGCATCCATGTCTTGCGAGTTTCCGTTGGATGACGGTGCATCGGGGTCATTGCTCTGAGGCGGTGCCATATTTTGAAGCCTCTGCACCCGAGCAATGGCGTCTCGCCGACTGATTTCGCCGCTGATGATCGCCCATGGAGCCCACAGAGCCATGGCCCAAGTGATGCCGGCCAAACCTATTAGAACCGTGGCTCCTGCAACCGACCGGACAAGTACCGTGCAGAACATGGAGACTGCGAATAAGACGAGCGATCCGAGCCAGGCCCGTTTCAGGGTGAATCCTGGGATTCTCAAATAGTCGAGGTATGATCGTCGCGGCAGTCCAGTTGTCTTGGTCGCAACAGGTTGACCCGTGTGCTTGTTGACGGACACAGGGTGACCGTCGAACGTCGGCGCAATGAAGAAAGGTAGAAATATGTTTGTGAGTAGGCTCACAATAGCGTTGACCAGTAACGCAAATGTCCCGATGCGGGTGGCTTGTTCGTACAAAGCCTCCAGCTCCTCGAGCGTCATGTTGGGGTTCTCCTCAAGGTATGGCTGGACATATATCTCTCCAATGTACGAAGAGGTATAAAACAGGAGCGGGAAAAACCCAACCCAAGCAAAGAACTGGACTTCGCAGACTCGTTTAGTTTGCGGGGGCAGTCGCTTAATCGACTTGAGGATGTTGAAGAAGAATGCGATAATGTTTGGCGTCTTCTTGATAGGGGAACCGTCTTTTCGAGGATCCCTTTCACGAATACTAGCCGTACTGAGTGCGATTGTGATTGCTAGTCCAATACTGGCCACTGCGCAAAGAATTTTGAACTGGTTGTCTCCAAGAAACCACAGGTGTGCGGGAAGATTCACATATCCCGCAATAAACCCTATGATGTTTCCAATGCCAGTAGCCCGACTCGCCATGGCATTTGCTTCCTCTTGTTGATGAGCAGGCGCACAGTCCACAAAGAAAGCGCGAATAGCGGCTTGGACAGTATTGATAGCAATATCAAGCACATATACCCCAATCACAGCGGCGATGATGGTGACAACTTTCACACCTTCCGACTTGGGGTCCGCGCCAAAGATGCCTAGTATACCTCCAACAATCTCTCGCGCCCAGGCGAGGAACATTAGCCCAGCAACAGTAGCAATAGTGCCACCCACCATGAATGGCCGACGTTTGCCCCATCGCATGCGGCAGTTGTCGCTGATCATTCCGACATACGGCACAACGAGAGTGCCCGTCAACGGCCCAGCAATCCATACCAGTGCCATGAGTGACTTGCTAAGGCCGAGAGATAGTAGATACGGTGATCCATTCGACAGCTCAACCGCCCATGCGAGCTGCAAACCGCCCATGCTGATTGTCAGCATGATCATGTACCACAACCCCTTGGTTTCCTGCGTCTCGTCAACATGCTGTAAGGCAGGAGTTGGTCTTGCTGCATCATCTGGATCCGACTCATTGCTGCTGAGGAGAGGAGAGTTCTCATTAACCGCGTGGTTCAAGCGAGTGGCGAGTGATGGTGCTGTCAGGCCAGGTTCGATGTCACCGGTATCCGGTTGTCCTGAAGTAGATGGTGATTTGACAGGCTCGGGGACAGCAGTCGTATCCCGGGCGTCCTCTTCCCGTAGACTCGCCATGATGGAAATTTGACGAAGGCAGGGGGGCAATCTACGCGTGCGGCCGCCAGCTTGATAACTCGCCCGAGGTTTGATGGAGAAGCCCGTGTAGCTTGACGTAGCTTCTCGGGGTTACAGCAAGGCCTGTCTTGCGCAAAAGAGCGTCAAGTGGTACAGGATCATTATGGTGCAGTAGGTGAGGCCATGGAAATAGCAGACAGTGCGCTCGGCTGATTTTCGTGCAACGGTCTATTGTGACGAGTAAAAGTGCCACGCGACTCGGTGCTGTGACCAATGCTCCCTCAGAATGAGGTCACGACGTCATTGTCTTTCATTGGGGGCCGATGCCAACGCGGCTGCGCGCATGTATAGGGACCTGGCCGTGGGCTTTGAATGAGCTGGTGTCCACAGTACCGTTGACCTATAGCCCTTCCATGTTGGGCCGCCATTGTCTCAAGGAAGGCGCCTCCCTACCCTATACGGTTACCCTAGCTTGGGGTAACAGACCATCTGGTCGACCAATCATAGGCCTTTTGAGCCAGGCCTACCCTAACCCTATTTTCCGTGTGCAATTGTGCCGGCTTGCGGATCTTCGTCCTTGTTTGGCAAATTGAACCATGTGTGATTGTCAATTTTCCATCGTCGGGCGCTGTATGCCTACGAGAGATAAGGATTGCCGTGGGTGAAGACGCGGCATGATCGGAAGCTTGTCTGGAATGCTCTATTCAAAAAAGCCAAACATTGGAAAGTCAAGGCTCCGACATGCGTCATGGGGCAGTGAGCGATTACTGGACTGTATCTCTGGAGTTGTGTTTGACGTGGCGGCCAACCGCTCTTGTAGTACGTACAAGAATATGACCAGTCCATGTTGTCGAGGCTAACAATTGTAGGCCAATCAGCAGGCAGGTGGTTCGTATGTACTGTTTTGAGTGCCTAATCTAGTATTGACTACGGAGTAGTACTAGTATCAATTGATGTGGCCCTCCGAACTGGCCCCGAGGATTCAAATGTCAAGTGTCGCGGAATGGACCCAATGACGTCGACACCGCATCCAGACGTCCACGCAAGCAGAGAACAACAGGACACATGCAACGCCAAGTACTCCGTAATCCTGGCAGGCCTGGTCCGGCCCTAGTACTCGCCCCAAGCAGCTACTGCCTTCTGCCCCATCATTGCGGCGTTTATACGGAGTACGGAGTATGGACAGACGGATTGCCTGCTGCCTGTCTGGACTTTGTTTTCCACCCAAGCTTTGGTGGTGGTGGTGGTAGCAGATCAACAGGTGGCCGACTTGACTTGGGACAGACATTGAACGGCGAGCACCGGCCGAACCATTTCCCTCATCCCGAGTTATGCCGCGCTTCAAGCTTGGATCGGCACGAGAAGCCGCATCGCGGCACGCCCGTCGAAGCCACTGTGGACAGAGGTCGTGAGCGACGGCAATGGCAACGCGAACCGCGAACAGCCATGACATGAGTGCAGCACGCAGAGTTTTTCCCGCTCTCTTGGCGTCGGCTCGCCAGTCCTGGAGCAAAAGGGCCGCCTGGCTCGGTGTAAAAGTCCGGTCCAGGCAAGCGCGGGTGCCCCGGGCTGCCCGGCCTAGTCGAGATTCAGAGCTGACATGGAACCAGACATGGACCAGACAGGGACATTTGAGGCCCCGTAGTCTAGACCTGGGGCCGCCGGTGGCGGTGCCAAAGTTCCCACAGAAGCCCACTGCAGCCCACTGCAGCCCACTGAAGGGCCCCAGGCGACGTGCCTTTGGCCTATGGGAGCCACGGGAACTTGACGGCTTTTGTCGTCGGGCTCCACCGCAAACGGCCTGTCGCTCGTGGTTCCATCAATGTTCTTTTCCTGTTCCACCAGCCACACCGGCACCGCGTGGGCCAAGTGAGTGACTTTTTGACGTCGGCCAAGGACATGCATGTGCAGTGAAGACATGGAGCGCTGCATGCCGACGCCTGCCACCAGCACCAAGCACCTCCCAACCAAACCCCAGCAGTTTGAAAACACCGCGTCGAGCCCCCCGAATCAGTCCCGTCTCCGCACTCCAGAGCCCCCAGAGCCCCAAGGCCCCACACGCAGCCGGCCCACCTCCCACTCACGCCTCGCCTCGCACCAGACTCAACCACGCAAGCATCGGCGCCAGAGACGACAATGGGCCGAAAAGAGTCGCCACCAACTACGGAGTACCATACTACCATGTCGACGCCATGCACGCGAAGACGAAGCCCAGAGGGTTCCTGCGGGCGCCGCCCCAGAGGCTTGCATTGCAGACTTTCCCAGGCTTCCTCAGATTCCCGATTCCCTTTATAATTGTCCTAGATCTGCACCCCCCTTCGATCTCGTCGTTCCGCTGAGCCTTCCTCAACTGCGGTATATTGGTGCACATCTGTATTGCAATCAAATTCGTCAATCCCTCGTCTGCTCTGCCAAAGATTGCTACAATGGCTATCCGAGACCGATTTCGTCGTGCCTTGCGCAAGTCCGACAGCTCAGACACCATCTCGCCGACAAACAGCAACACAACCACTGCCACCACCAGCGAGACGTCTTCGCTACACAAGTCAACCAGCAGCAAATTCGCCAGAACCTTTGCATTCAGCCGCCGCTCAAAAGACGAGTCACACGAGGAATCCAAGAGGAACAAGAAGAACAAGAAGACCCACCCCAGCCAACGACCTCTGACGCTGCAAAACCTGAAGCATCAGGAAATGCTCAGCCATTTCAGCATGACCTTTGGAGCCTCAGACCCGAGCCAGATTGAGAGTGCCAGTTTCATTGGTGTGAGCCCGTGTTGCACCCGGGCACCCAGCCTCGAGATCGACAGGGCAGAGATCAGCCACTCGCTGACGGGCTCGCCGAACCCCGACTCGGTCCGAGACTGAAGAGGCGAATAGGCGCGCTGCATTGCATCTCTACAGCGGGAGCCTCACTACCGCCTGGCGCCGACGGCGATAAACATAGACCACACACCACTTCAAGGGGCAGAACATTAGAGTTGCCTTGCGCTGGTGGTACGACCGCCGCCAAAGAGGCACACGAGGGGTGGCACTGTTCCCCAAACGACCGGCATCCTGCAATAACCGCCGCAGACCATTTGGAGTTGGGAGGCAACGTAGCCCAAGTCCGCCCATCTCTCAAATCTCTCACTCAAACACCAGCGAGAGAACACGGAACGTTGCAGGGTCTCCCCCCTGCCACACACTCTTTTTCTCTCCACCTTGACTTCCCTCTCTGCCTCTCTCACACTCTCTCTCACCCTCACTCTTTTTAATATGGAAAAATATTGTCTAGAGGAATTAGAGGAATACACGGTATTGCAGTAGAAGGCTGCCACGGCAACCACCCCCACGATCTAACCACCTTTTCTGTGGTTACTACAACACGACTACGCCATGGTTGGCACTACCACGGCGAAGAATACACAAAAGTGCTTGCATGTATTATACGAACGGGCATGAATTACACGGGACTACGGGCTACTTTGGGGCATTCAGCGTTGGCACACATCAAGCATTTGGCATATTCGGTTATTCGGCGGTCATGGATGGATGACTCTGCCGGCGTTCTTTGTTTTATCTACCGACACATGCACCATATCTACTCGCGTACATGTCGGCATGCATATTTTTTATGTGAGCAAAGGTGTCTGGCGACCTGGCTATAGCTTATATTGGCCAGTACGAAAACCTTATTGGCATAGACGATAATACACCGTTTTTGATTTCACTTGATCCAAGTCTCTCTGGACCCTCTCATCGTTGTGAGCGTTACCGGTGAATATCCTCTCGTCATTGATGATGAATGTTCCTTTATTTTAGTCTTGCGTTTCTCGTGAAAGACTGACACGTCAAGGCAATATCTGTTGGGTGGTTTTGCAATTATACCCTCAGGCATGTCTTGTGATTCTTGGTCCGGCATATAAGCAGCCAACACTCACCACGCAAACGGAAGGAGCAGCGATGCGTCACTGTTCAAGATGTTCCTCAAGTGACTTCGATCCGAGCCTGCCACCTGTCACGGCTGTCACATTCACAGCTCACTGCACCTACCGTATTTGAAGCCAGCTGCCAACGAATGTCTCCACAGGAATCAACACAATGTCTGGGGGACGCCTGGTTCCATCTGCAGCTGAGATGAACCTTCTACTTTCAACGTTTCCTTTTCGCGTCGTTTGACCGATGGGACGCCAATCAAAGCCAGCCGGCCACCATGTCCTCCAAATCCTTCTTCGTCTTGAAGACAAAGGCCATCCCGAGTCGCTACCAGCTGTCCAAAAATATCCAGACCCTTCTCGAGGGCCTTGACAGTTACCATGTCGGAAGTCTCGACGTCGAAGAGCTCGGAAGGCTAGTGCGCCTGAGTCCTCGGCGAAGGGCCGCGGTTGCAAATACTATCACGAAATGTGCCAACATTCTTAAAAAGGACCCCTCAGAGGTCAAGACTTGCGTTGACATTATCGAGATGTGCACAGAGATTCTGGAGATTGCAGGTGAGAAACTGCCGTGACTTGCGCCAAGTCTTGGGCACTCGTCTTACATGCAATCGCAGACAGGCAAAGCTCTACCGAAGGCTTCCCCTTCATGAAAATGCCAATAGAAATTCGTGCAAGAACGCTGGATCTCATAATCGACAATACATTTCGAACGCCAGTGGTAGTGCCGGCTGGGAAACCGTCACCTTGCAGATGCCCCAGGTTCGACAGGGACAATGTCTTTCAAACCTCCCAGATGAAAGCGCTGCCGACACTGTTAGGTGCGGCTTTAGGTGAGGAGTTCTACCGCATCTTCTTTTGTAAAAAAAGGTTCCGATTTCGCTGTGCTTGTGAGCTTCTTGCACATATTAATCATAATTCGCACTTCACGGATCATGTTCGCCACATAGCGGTCCACTGGTGCGGCCCAGAATCAGCAAATACCTTCAAATTGCTCCCCCAGTTGCTTAAGCTAGAGTCTCTGACACTCAATATTTCCAAGTCGACGCTGGTGCATCTGAACGAACGTGCCAGCTTAATGCGAACACATTTTCCTCTTGCCTATCGAAACATAAGGATGTCAGACATCTTGGGCCTGGATGAGCTTTTGCTCGTGCGGGGCCTCCAAGATGTACATGTATTCAATGTCCAGCCGAAAAGTAACTCCCACGGCGTTGAAATGGATCGTGTGTGCCTTTGGGATTTGCTGACAAGTCAGCTTACACAACCACGAGAAGTGCGTACATGAGCGTATGGTTGGTTGCGAGCGCTAACTAGTCGTAGGACTTGACAAATACGTTGAGCCTTTGACGGGATGACCAATGTAATTGGCGATGCACGCAAAAGCGCAGACGAAGTATTGCCTGATTCGGGAGTTCGGGAAGGCAATCAATTGCTGAGATTGTGCTACACGAATTTGCCTTACCTATAGGAGTGCGAGGATAAATTTCTACAAGTAATGAACAGTACTTTAGTGCATGGAGGCGGAGATGGTGTAATGGATAGACGAAAAATGTAACAACTGATAAATTACGATAACCTCCATTTGGTGAAGTCACTGAAGGTTTCGTACTCAAAAAGCGTTGTAAAAGTTTTTCTTGTCTTATACACACACAGCGAGCTGAGGGTATCCGGCTCAAGATCTGTCCTCTAGATGGATTGACCGAGCATTGGCAAAAGACGAGGAACAGAAACGAGCTACGAGAATCAACACCTACCGTAGAGAGAGCTGTCTGTACCTGAGGCTGCTCGCAATCTCAACAGCCTCGACAACATCAAAAACATGGGTGAATTAAGATTCAAGATGGGTGCGAAGGATCATACCCCGATTTTGCCTATTTGCGTCGAACCATACATGGTTGGCAAACACCCGTCATTCTGAAGTTCCGAGTTGATAGACAATCGCTGTCCGAAGATTTTGGTTGAAAACCTCTTTCCCGCAATTCCCGGAAAAACAAGTTTACCCGAGAGACAATAAGCCCACTCCTCATCAATAGACAGGTCTTCGTCACGTGCGCATTTCCGTGACGGTAATTAGTGTGTGCATCGCCGCTTGCCCTACTTGTGCCCCCACAGGGTCGAAAATTCCACCTCGTTAAGCGAGCGCAGACCAAATCTCCGCCTCTCTTCCCTTCAACCCGAATCCATTGTCCATCATCGAGCACACGGCAACGACCGGTACAGTTGCCCATCATGTCGCTCGTTTCGGGAGAGAAGACGAACTTTCAGTTCGTAAGTAACGCACTGCCTCTACCTTGATTGGCGATTGCTCGACGATTTCAGACTCTAGCGGCCGTTTCGGTGGCGGCCTCGAAATCTTTCAACACATCGCCAACGAATTACCTTTGTTCATCTCGGTGACATCAGAAGCTAACACTTGGGCAAACAGATCTTGCGTCTTCTGAACACCAATGTTGACGGCAAGCAGAAGGTTATGTACGCCTTGACCAAGATCAAGGGTGTCGGTCGCCGATACTCCAACTTGGTTTGCAAGAAGGCCGATGTCGACCTGAACAAGCGGTACGATTTAGACTCCTCCATTCGTCATGAGAGCAAAAAAAGGGGGGGCAGAGAGGGAAAAGAAGTACTGGAGGTAGAGCAAGAGTGCTAATTATTGTGCTTTCAATAGTGCCGGTGAACTTACCTCCGAAGAGCTTGAGCGAATCGTCACCATTATCCAGAACCCTACCCAGTACAAGATCCCCACCTGGTTCCTCAACAGACAGCGCGACATTGTCGACGGCAAGGACTCGCAGATTTTGGCCAACGGCGTCGACTCCAAGCTGCGTGATGATTTGGAGCGCTTGAAGAAGATCCGCGCTCACCGTGGTCTTCGCCACTACTGGGGTCTCCGTGTCCGTGGCCAGCACACCAAGACCACTGGTCGCCGTGGCCGAACTGTCGGTGTCTCCAAGAAGAAGGGTGGTTAAATTATACGCTGTGACGATCACTGCATTGGGATGGGTGTGGAAAGGCGTGACGGACTGGGTTTATTCCATCTTTGTGCGCATATCTGGACGCAGAGGTTTGCTTTCGGGCAATACAGCTTGGTTTATAGCTGTACTCTAGATCAGAGGTTCATGAATCAAAAGTATTCAAAACAAAATCCGTGCTTTTTGCCTTGGAGAGCTTCCCCAAATGTGTCGCATGCCACGATGATGAGTGATGATGGGCTTAAGTTTTTTTTCAACTGGGGGACTAGGCTGAGCTGAAAAAGCACAGGTGATGGAATTGCATGGCGTCGATCTGGAGATGACTTGGGTTCTCTTGTTACTGGCAACTAATTTGTTCCCCCTCTCTAGGCCCTCGCCAATAGACAGACAAAGGTTATGCCGTCAGCGATAGTCATCAAGCATCTTGTTCATGCAGTATCGGAGCCTGTGAGGATGGCAGAGATTCACTCAAGGGAGAGTAGCATGGGTATCATTCGTAATTTATCTATTAGATTAGACTGCCGTTTAATCTTCATGCGTGACAGCCATATCCAACACCTCCACCCTCCCTTGTCCCCTGGTTTCATTCCCAATGAAATCCGACAAGGCTTTGAAGGCTCCCGGTTCAACAAAGCCGACGACTTCCCACTCGGAGCCCATAACATCCTGATTCTCCACCTGCTCTACATATCCCAAGATCTTGTCCTTGACCGTCCCCGGCGCCTTCTGCTCGCCGTCTTCCTCCTTGGCAGCAGCCTTGGCGGCCTTGACGGCCTGCTTCAACACACTCGTCGGACACGATATCCTCAGCCTCATACGTGCTCTTGCCACAGGAATAGGCTGATAGGCAATGAGGGCCTTCATCGCCTCCAAAGCCTGACTCTTGGCACTTTTTGTGGTCACCACGCCGGTCCAGATGTGCTCCTTCGTTCTGGGCTTCGCCTCGCCATCGTCGCCGGTGGCCGGAGTGGTAGTCGGAGTCGCCGCGCCACTTGCCGTAGCGCTCTTGTCTTTATCCGCGTTGTGTGCCTGGGAGCTCAACATGTCCAGGGCCTTTTCAATCATGCCAGACGTGTATACCCTCTTTGTCCTCGGATCGACCAGTTTGCTAGCCACTATGCCAATGACTTCGTTGTGCACACGCTCCAGCTGTGCGGCTCTTTCCTTCTCGCCGACTTGTAACTCGCCCTTTTTCAGAATTTCCAAGACGATGTCGTCGGTGGATTTGCCCTTGCCAAAGGCCTTTTCGAGATCTTCCTTGGGAGCAGTCTGGCCCTTGGACACGTTGAGGAACACGTTGGGGATTTGGAGGACGTTGTCGAGGTCGGTTTCAATGCCGGAGCGCCACTCCATGACCTTGTTCTTGTAGCAGGCGATTTCGAAGCGCTTCTTGCCCTTTTTCAGGCGCACGAGCGAGACGTTTGTGAGCTTGATTTGGTTGGAGGGCTGGTTGATTTGGCGAGACATGGCGGACGATGCTTGTTGCTGGGTTGCTTGGAGATTCGTAGAGGTTGGAACGGAAGGAAAATGAAGAATGCCGCCTGCTGTAATCCAAAGCAAATAGGACGGTGCGAAGCGCGAGAGCCCGGCCAGCAAGGTTGGTTAAAAAAAAAGGACTACACATTCATCAAGATGATGTCGATGGCGGGGCAGCCTGGTGTACAATATATAGCGACTGGTCTGGGTCAATTTGTACCTCCTAGCGTGGGTTAGGCTGCGGCGGGACATTGGCTAACTGTACTTAAGTCTACCTACCTAAGGTAAGTAGGAAAGCGCAGAAAAAGCCAACACGTAAAATCTGCAAACTACAAAACGCCTGAAACCGTAAATTTATTATTTATTTTTATAAAAAAAAGCATATAGATTAAGCTACTCGTGAGAATAGTCGCTCAAGATGTGCCGTCAGCATGACTCACTTCCATCATTCTGTGGTGGTAGTTGTTGCATGTGGCCTAGTCGACTGGTGCCAGTGAAGTCGCTACGAACCGTAGTATCAATTATAGAACGCACGCCACTAGAGAGTTCTTTTTACTAGAAGTTTAACCCGTATAAAGTTCTGTGAATATGGCTATGATATGGCTATTTTACGCCTTTTCGTTCACTTTCCTCGCGATTTGGCGGTTTTTTAGCGCTGATTTGCCAACACGGCAGCGGGCTGGTGACATCGCCCAGGAACAGCGAGGGTGCGACTCAGACTTCTCGCTCGATCTTTCTCTTTTTCCCATCTGGTTTTTTTTTCAACCCCGCCATGCCATGCCACCAAGTGAAATCCTTCCCAACTGCCCCGCCTTGCTCGCATCCTGGACACTCGAGTGACTGTAGAGGCGCTCATTTGACTGTTCATGTTGAGTCACATTTATCTAGGTACGCATGTAATTACAGAGACCATTGCCACATGCATCTGACTCCCCTTCCAGAACAAGGCACTGGAATAGCATCTGAATATTTTGCACAGCTCAAGCATTTCCCTAACCATGGCCTCCGCTCCCGCAACGGTTGACCACGTTGGCCACGTCCCCGTCGACGACGTTGCCTCTCCGGAAGACACCAACCCCTCCAAGCAGGACATTAACCCCTGGTCAGTATCGGGCGAGGTTGGTGACGACGGAAAGGTCAAGGCCATTGACTATACCAAGCTCATTGACGAGTTTGGCACCAGCAAGATCGATGATGCACTGCTTCAGCGCTGGGAGAAGGTCACCGGCCAGAAGCCGCACAGGTTTATGCGCCGTGGTATTTTCTTCAGTCATCGTGACTTGCACATGATTCTGGACCGCTATGAGAAGGTATGCTTCGTCAATTGGCATTGTACCACGCTTTGTATCATCACTGACTTGTCACTAGAATGACCCTTTCTTTTTATAT